GCGACGGCAATGAAATCTTAACTTAAAAAGTGAATTTACGTTCGTTTAAGCTTCATGGACATTATTTCAACTCTTTGACCTTGTTAAATGTAGATGGCGTCATGTAGCAGCTCTCCTAACTTACTGTGTAAGTGTATCGCCTTAAAAATGAACTTTTGCGGACCACGCCCAATGGAAGAGAGATGGAGAAAACTTGGTCGTCGCCTGTTTTTTTACCTTCTCTACAAATTTTGCATCATGAGGTTTCACATGCACGTTGTGGTCGTGAAGTGACAGCAACGAAATGTACCAAAACGTTTGATGCACCGCCGAGCCAGCGTTCGGAGGATCATTTTTGTAAAATGTTTTTTTTCGATAGTAAAGGGACCTTACTTGATATAATCAGAGTTTATGTTTCACTCCTCAAAGCAGCACCACAATGTCTTTTAAAACTAACCCCTGACACCCCGCAGCTCAGACAGTAACTTAGTTCGTCAGTCTGTCAGTTTGTTACGACTACTTACTTCTTAAGCTCGTTAGTCAGTTTTTCCTTTGATTTGTCTTGTTTGCGTTGTTAAGGGTCATTAAGATGGCGCTAGAAAGTTTTTTTTTTGTCAGGTAACTTTCTAGTGAGTCAGTTAGTTACTTGTAGTCTCTCAAAGGATCGTCATAACTAAATGTTTGAATTTAAAAAGAATTACAACGATTGGTTTTCAACCATTGCTCCAAACGTCAGCTTTGAATCTGTTTTCGGTGGCCAATCCACCCTCTCATCTCAGGTGATCAATGCCAAATTTTTGTGTTTGTCTCTCTTCTCGACTAGTACAAAGCCCTGTAACAAAGGAAAATTTTTCTTGTCGCTCAGTTTTTTTCTTGTTCTTTTTGATGCGCGACACAAGTTTCAAGGAAAATTTCATAGTATAACATAGCCTTTCCTCATAGGAAGGCCGATATTTATTTGTATACACTGCGGTAAACCACAGGGAGCCCACACAATCTGTTTGTGAAACCGATTGTATTGTAATGTTATAGTAAATGTACTGTATTTACCGTTTCCTTCATCCGTAGGGTGTGCGATTTTGAAGGATTTTGAGTCCACTGTTTGAAAGGAGGACAATTTATCCAAAGTAAGGTAGCACAACTTTAACTAAGGTTTAATCCATGCACACATTTAGCGATATACCGCTACAGATGAAGCAAACAGTAAATACAGTACATTAACCATGAAATTACTTTCAATTCAATTCAATCGATAACTTTACTTAACCACGGGGTCTTTTTCGCTAAAAAGTACTCTCCCAAGGGGCCGTGCACTTAAACAATAACTCACACATAATAGTTTATAATACTTAAACCTGTGTCATTACCATCATAAAAATTATCCAATTTTAAAATTAAAGTACGAAAAATTAATTAAACTTTTCGCCTACCTAGCCTCCAATAATTACTTGAATGAAGAAAATTATTTAAACTAGTGGCCTGCTAAGCCTCGACCGACAGACTATTCCATAGGACAGCACCCCTATACCAGAAACTCTTCTTAAATGCCTCAGTGTATGGTCTTGGAACGAAGATATTGTGTTGCCAGGTCCGCAGATTATGGCTGTGAATGGATGGAATTGGTGTAGGAAAATTTATCGGATATATATTCAGGTACTTGCCTGTTCACTGTTTTGAACAGTAATGTTTTTAATTGGTTTGTTCTCCTGTCGTCGAGGCTCATCATGCAGATAATGACAAAGGATCTGGGGTGATCTGACATCCCAGCCGGTTCCAGTTATTTTAGGTGCCGCTCTGTTCAATATTTCTCCAGACAACACTACAATAATCAAGATGAGGCAGACTCAATGATTTGTAAATTGAGGCAAGCTGAGTCCTCCGGGGCAAAGTGGTTTCAGTCTCCTCAGGACAGCAAGTACTTTTGCGACTTTACCACTGACCTCTGAAATATGAGTACCCCAAGAAAGTGGTTCATCCACCCACACGCCTAGGCATTTGAAGGTAGACTCTTTCTATTGAGTGACTATCACGATAATATGTAGTTCAGTAAGGGCCAGAGAGATTTTGTGTCGGGTCTCCGTGAAAAGACACTTAGTGTTGAGAACATTAAGACTTAAGCGATTTGAGTCGAGCCATTGTTTCAGATTGGCATGGTCATGAGTGTGGGATGAAAACAAATCATCAGGGTTTTTAGAAGAATAAGTTAGATTATTGTCATCAGCATACATCCTGACACCTGACAGACGGTTTGGCAAGTCATTGGTATATATTAAGAATAAAAGGGGGCGAAGGATAGAACCCTGAAGCACCCCACAATGCATAAAGCTAATATTAGAATTGACAGTGTTTATCACTGTAATCTGAGTTCTGTCAGATAATTTCTAAAACGTTTTAGACGGGCATTCATAAACCCGTATAGATCCAATTTTGACAAGAGATTCTTGTGATCAATAGTATCAAATGCCCTTTTGTAGATCAATAAACAGAACTGCATTAGTTAAATCACATCGATAATGGGATACCACTTGTCTGTCATGCCAATAAGAGCAGTCAAAGTAGAGTGCAGTGGTCCAAAACCAGATTGAAATTTAGCGAGTAAGTTATTCTCGTCCAACAAATACTTATACGTCTGATTGAAAATTGCTCTCTCAAAAAGTTTGGCAATTACTGAAAGAACAGAAATGGGTCTGTAATTATTTAGACCAAACCTCGAGTCAGCCTTAAAGATTGGGGCCACTCTTGCACTTTTCCAGTCACTGGGGATGATCCCAGTAAAGATAACTAGGTTAAAGATGTGAGTCAAGGAGCCAGCTATATATGAAATTGATGCCTTGAGAAGACAAGCTGGGATACCATCAAGACCATCAGCCTTTCCCGCAGGCAGATCCCCAACAAGTATGAGTACTTCCTCTACGTTTATTAGTCCCAAATCAAAGCGGCTGCTATTTCAAGGTTTAATAAAATCTGTAAACTGACTCGAGGGGTGTCCACCTTTGAAGCAAGACTTGGGCCTATATCAGTAAAATGCCTGTTAAGTGCATGACCAAACAGATTGTGTTGGCCCTTGAGGGTAAACCTCGTCGGGAATGTTAAAAAGCCCAACTGAATATAAGACATGTTACAATGTTTTCTTCACTGCAGCAAGTGCAGCAGTATGTAATAGAATCAAGATATAATTTTTGCAACAATTGTTCCAAAACAAACGTTGCGGGGTCCCATTGGTTATGTAAAAGAATCTTCAAGGCACTTTGTTTACGCTCCATGGGCGTATGTGAGGATGTACGCTCACGGGACCTCTTAACGAAAAAGTCTACTCTGTAGTTCGGCGTATATAGTTTCTGAATGAAAGCATATTCACGGTTTATGACGCCATCTTGGCTGCTAAAATTACGGTGATTGTATGGAATTTTGGCCCACTTGGAACCGCTATATAACGCCGCTACAAAGAGATTTGTACTGAGATTATTTTCATGAAGTATAAAGAAGAGATTCAGGTTATAACGACTGTAAACGAATTTTTAAGATTTTATACAAACCCTTCTAATCAACATTTAATATAGGCAAATTAGCATGAAATTAGAAGCCACATGAGAAGATTTATAATTCGAATTTACGGACGTCGTACCTTCTTTAATAGGGACCTTAAGCATCGACAACGAAACGGACGATAACGACGTTTCGCAACCGAGGCACACTGGGCCAAGGGTTTCGTTTTCAGCGGGGAAAACGAAGTTTAAACAGTGCAGCTTCCCAGACAGTCGACGACTTTTTCTTTGGGAAGAACTTTGTCCTGTTACAGTCTTGTTAAGGCATTCAAAGACCTCCGTAATTTGCGTCTTATAAGCTATGACGATGGTTAATCGACGATGGTGAATTTTTTATTTTTCTGGATTATTTGATTTTGGAGGCAGTTCTCTTCGTCGCGCGGCTCAGTTTTGTTTTTGTTTTGAAGTTAAAAGTGAATAACGATCTCGAACAGCTTTTGACTTGAAGTTACGCTAAATTTCGGCTGCTGAAGAGAATTCAGTACTACTGCAATGTTCCTCCATATCTGTCCTCTCAGGGCTCCTCATAGCCACATCATGTTCAGCTGAGTCCACTGGAAATAGCTGCCTTTACTAGCAGCTATATAAAAACAACATGGGGAATTATTATAAAAATTTTAGCACGAAAAAATGAACATTTATTCTATAATACAACCTAGAGTGCAGGAGTAAACAGAGACCGTCATGGAACGAACATCATCTAATCTAACAGGTTCGGAAGATAGCAGAGGAAAGCTTACTTGTCTTTCCGACTGGTTGTTCCCCGATCGCTCAGGTTTTCAGACAAACCGAACCTGAAAAGTAAATTCAAGTTAGCAGAAGAAGAAATCAACAAAGAGCTTAACATTTGGATTCTGCTAATCCACAAAGAATATATTTCCACTTGTACTGTATGAAAAGGGAGAAAAAGAGTGATTTACACGCAAAAAGTATAGTTTTATACTTACGTTTTAGCGACGGCGGCAAACCTCCCTGAATTTCGTCGTCAGCGAAGGCTGGACGACGTTTTGACAACCTTACGCATGCCCAGAAGTTTCGCGGGGAAAAATGTAACTTCTGGTCGGAGTCGTCGTCGCATTTCGTCGTCGATGCTTAAAGTCCCTAATAGCCTTCTGCTGAATGAATGATATCAATAAAGCTATTTAAAGTAGTGGCAAATGTTGGAAATCCGCCTCTTTGTAGCGGCGTCATAGCGGTTCAAAATAGGCCAAAAGCCCATACATTCAGTCTAATTTTAGCCGTGTTTGCTTCCCAGCCAAGATGGCGTAATAAACCGTGGAAAAGTCTATTGGTAGCCGTTTTATTTAAATTTCGAACAAAAATGACCAAAGTTCAGAGGAGACCTTAACAGTCGAGCCTGGAAGGCTACCCGTGTTTTACCCCCACCCCTATGGTTGTTTGCCCCTGTCCACCTATATCAGAGCAACCTCTTCGGGAGAGAATCCCTGGGAAGGAGGTTAACAAATCAGTGCAAAGTTTATCTCAGATCGGAAGATCAACAGGAACAAGAGAACATTCAGAAGCTTTCCTCTTCAGATCAGCGGTCTTGTCTCTGTAAAGGTAAGAGTTGTTTGATATAAATGCATGTCTTTAATGATTGTGCTCCTTTACATTTTGACACGTTCAAGCGCATTGTGCCTTTGAAATAAGTGCATTTGCTCGCTGATGGAATTTACTGACACGCGGAAGTTCGGCATATTTTTATGACCAAACGTTAGTATCATACCGCTGTAAATATAGACGCATCTCATCATAAGTAAATTAAACTAGTGTGTGGTTTGTTTTTAAGATTTTCAAGCCTACAACAGTGCTGATCTGACTGGTACGCTAATACATCGACAATAACACCTCCGGGCAACCATTCGGGCATTTCTGAAATTTTGAAAACTTAGTGTTACTTAGTATGCAAATAGACCTTATCACGGTTTATGTTTATGTGCCGGGGGGGAAGACAAACACGGCTAAAATTACAGTGATTGTCGATGGGATTTTGGCCCACTTGGAACCGCTATAAAGCCGCTACAAAGAGGTGGATTTCCACAGCGAAAATGTATTTTAAAAGAAATTTGTACTGAGATTAATTAAGTGAAGTGTAAAGAAGACATTCATCGACCGTAAACGATTCCATAGAAACCCTTCTAATCAACATTATCATGCAAATTACCATTCAAATTAGAAGCCACATGATAAGATTTATAATTCGAATTTACGGACGTCGTTACTTCTTTTTCTATTGAAATTTGTACTGAGATTAATTAAGTGAAGTGTAAAGAAGAGATTCATCGACCGTAAACGATTCCATAGAAACCCTTCTAATCAACATTATCATGCAAATTACCATTCAAATTAGAAGCCACATGATAAGATTTATAATTCGAATTTACGGACGTCGTTACTTCTTTTTCTATTGAATGAATGATATCTATAAAACTCCTTTTAAAGTAGTGGAAAATGTTGGAAATCCGCCTCTTTGTAGCGGCGTTATAGCGGTTCCAAGTGGGCCAAAATCCCATACATTAACTGTAATTTTAGCCGTGTTTGCCCCCCAGCCAAGTCAAGTCAAGTCAAGTCAATCTTTATTTAAACACGGTAAAATCCATCAGGAATTTAAAAAATTAAAAATAACCTAACTATCCTAAACAAAATTCAAAACCTGACTACAACTAATCTAACTAAAACCTGTTTTTCATGAATGCCGTGTATAACATTAAAAATGAACATTAACTAATCTTTTAAATTGACTAAGAGATTCGGCTTCTCTCACATGACAGGGTAGGCTGTTCCAGAGAACTGCTCCGCTATAAGTAAAGCTGTTTTTCATGAAATTAGTTCGCGGAAATGGGACAAATAGTTTGTTAACAGGGTCCCTCAGGGAGTAACGCGTTTCATTTCGTTTAACAAACTTAGATGATAAATATTCAGGAACAAGGCCATTTAAAGACTTGTATACCATTATGGATTTCTGTATTTGAAATTGAGTGCTCAAGTCTTTCCAATCGAGTTGTCTAATCAAACGGTTAGCATCAGCATCATAGCTAGAGAAGGTTAAAACGCGAGCGGCACGGTTCTGAAGCTTCTGTAGCCTGTCAAATAATGTTTTACCACAATTACCCCAGACAAGATTGCAATAATCGAAATGAGATTGAATTAGTGAGTTGTATATATAGTGAAGGGTAGGTGGAGGGACAAAAGGTCTAATTCTTTTTATTGCTCCAATTCCGGAAGCGACCTTTTAGATAATTTATCAATGTGTGTTTGCCACCGTAGATTTTCATCAATAAATATTCCAAGCGATTTGACAGAGGAAACGTGTTCTATCGGAACATTATTAATCGAGAGCTCAAGTGGGTTCGACAAAGTACTCAATTTTTGTCTGGAGCCAATTAGCATGAATTCAGTTTTAGAAGTGTTCAAAGTAAGTTTATTGGAAATAAGCCATTTGTTTAGGTTATCTAAATCGTGACTCAGAGTTAACTGTATTGAATTCACATCAACGCCAGCATAAGTAATGTGGGTGTCATCGGCATACATTCTAGGCTGGCACGAAGTAAGGCAGTTTGGCAAGTCATTAATATAAATAAGAAATAAAAGGGGGCCAAGGATTGTTCCTTGCGGTACCCCACATTTAAGAGAGCAGATTCTAGAAAGAGAACCGTTAACAAGACATCGTTGTGTACGATTAGTTAAATACGACCTAAACCAATCAAGAGCTGTACCTTGTATTCCGTAAAGGTTCATTTTAGCTAGAAGGATATCGTGGTCAACGGTGTCGAAAGCCTTTTTTAAATCGAGGAAAACCACAGCATTAACATTGCCACGATCAATATTAAAGGCCCAATTATCCGTAGCTTCCAGAAGGGCAGTTGCAGTTGAGTGTAACGAGCGAAAACCCGATTGATGATTAGAAATGATATCTTCATTGGTCAAAAAGTTATACAACTGATCATAAACAATCCTTTCAAACACTTTAGCTATAACGGAAATGACTGAAATAGGTCGATAATTATTCAGATCAGATGGCTCACCTTCCTTGAACAACGGAGTAACTCTAGCACATTTCCAATCATCAGGAAATATACCAGAGACTAAAGATTTATTAAAGAGATCACATAGTGAAACTGAAATAAGATCAGCACATTCACGTACAATTTTAGCAGAAATATTATCAAGACCAGTTGCTTTAGATCTACATAATTTGTTTAGATGTGAGAAAACAATGCTGCAGTTAGTCGAGGAGAAGCTGAAATTGTTGTTATTTACCTTTATATTATTGATATAACTTGAATTATTTTCAGCAGTTAGAGGTATTTCATTAGCAAGTCTGGGCCCAATTGTTGAAAAATGGCCATTAAAAGCATCAGAAAGCTCACTAGAATTAGAGATAATGGTATCATTCAATTTCAGTTCTTTCACCGTTGTATTATTCACACGACGGGATGTAAGCTCATTAAAGGTTTGCCACGTTTTTCGAGGATTACCCTTAGATTGAATAAATGCATTAGAATAATAAGATGCTTTAGAAATTTTGATGTCATTGTTTATTATATTTCGCAACTTTTTGTACCTTTTCCAATCGTGTGGATCATTCGATGTAATTGCTTTTCTTTTGGCAGCATCACGATCACGCATGCCTTTCTTTAATTCTGAATTGATCCAGGGTGCTTTATTTGTTCTAGTACGTCTAGTTCGGAGTGGCGCATGAATATTAAGATGGCGTCATGACCGTGAAAAAGTCTATTCCCTGTCTATTCTCCCCATCTCCGATCCAGAAGGCCGTTCAAATGTACCCAACAGATTGCAGTCCTTTCGGGCCCTTTGTTCATTAGCTGATCTGCCACCAATCTTACCATGTCAGTCTTCTCCTTCGAGGATGAACACACACTATTACAGGGCGGCCTTGTCAACCCCCAAGAGGCAAGAATCTTGAGATTCTCGTCCTAGCGCTGGGAAAAGTAATGAGAACATTAAAAAGGTAGTGAGATTTGCCAAATTTCTTAGTGGGTGACCTACAGCACATGACAACTTTGCCATGGTTTAAATGTGTACCCAGATTTTTTTGGGTCGATTAATATGGATATATGCAGGCTATTGCTCTGTGCCATTGAATATGCATACTTCACGGGCCGAATAGTCCACGAACATGCAGCCGACTTTCAGAAGCGCAAACCCTTTGAAGTTGGGTGCAATAATTTTCTATTATTTTAACATGTTTTGCTTGATTCGTATGTTGAATTCTATTATTTCCCGATTTTGATTAATTTCCCTAAGTTAAACGACAAGTTCAGACGTAAAAAAAGTTCCCACGTGAAAGCGAAAAATATTGGAAAATTGTTTGTCACGCAAGCCGCTCAGAGCAATAAACAATCTCGACCATGATCAAATCTCAGCTGTCTCTCATTTCAGAAAATAACTTTTTCTTCGGTTCAGTCTTCTACATTTACATTGTCCAAAGGTGCAATTGATCTCCAAATTGGACCTGGCTTTGGTAATTGCTGGTTTTCAGTGTCACTCCATTCAAAATAGATCAAAACAAAAATCAAAACCGTTCAATAGATAAAGTCCAGAAACTGGGAAATGAAAGGAGGTACATATACAAAGACCCTCGCCAAGATTCAGGTCAGAGGAATATTTCGTATACGAGATATCCGCAGAAATGTTTTACCCAAACCAGAAACTCATAAGGGGTTGAAACGTGTAACTCTCATATGTTTGCTTTGTCCGATGCTCGTGATTATTCATTTTCGAAAGTACCATATTTGGAACGAGAAGAAGAGATAACTGACCAATCAAACTTCGTAAACAACGTGACATAGTTTTACTTCATGTTCCCGCGCCCGCTTGAAAAAAATGGCCGACAAAGGGGGGAAAAACTCCCGAAAGCCGAGAAAGCTTTCAAAGGTTGAAACCAGGAATATTACCGAAACACTAAGCAGGATATTATTGCCTTACCACCCGGGCCAAACATAACATTATGAAACCCACTGACGTCCTCGCAACTTCATGAAGTTGTCACTTCAAAAAACGATGCCTCGTTGACCCTCTGCACAGCAAACTTATACTGGAAATAGGCTTTGAAAATTCTTATATTAAAAGTCTAGAATAAACAGTAAAAAATATTTTCGAAACAATAGACAGAGAAGCCGTTTCTTGAAAATTTTTATTCAAAATCCAAAAAGTCAATCCTTAAAAGCAATTCGGAAAACATGATCTGGATCGTGGAACCGTTCACGCAAGTGAAATCGGCTGAGTACATGGCAAAATTGAATCAACACAAAATCCATCTCAAACTGGGGCACATTTTGTAATTTTTCTATAGCGCCGAAGACAAAAATTTATAAAACGTCTATGAAACATTTAAAAATACATAAATTCCCTTTCAAAAACGTGATTGTTTTGGCCATAGAGTGCATAATGTACCTGAAAATTCAGCAAAAACTTCACTGCCTTGGTTGCATTTCAAAACAGACCATGCGCTCCGTCGAGAAGAAAACAAGGTTGAATTCCTCGAAAGACGATTTCTTGATGAAAAGCTTCCCTTCCTCCACAAAAAGAAAGCTGAGCATTCTTTTGAACTTTCTCTTTGTGTCTTTTAACGGTGTATTTTTAACCTTGAAACGCAGAACTCTTGTGTTAAAACATCTGCACGGTGATCGCGCGGCAGCCATTTGTTGAAAATTGATATCTGTCACTAAGGTTTCCAAATATGGTAAGAGTGAATATTCACAAGCATTGAACGCGAGTTACACGTTTCAACCATCTTATGAGTTTCTGCCCAAACTTATAGAGATTTGTATGGAGACGCCATGCATGCTGGTGCTCACCTGGATGAGCTCCAACATTAGTGGCGGACGGAAACCAACAGAAACATCTGTTACCGAGTTTTGCTAAAAAAGCGTGAATTTATTCATCGAGAAACTCATGAACATTAAAGTAATACATGAACTGTTTAGACAGCAAAATGTCCTGAAATAAGTCATGTTTTTAACCCACTCTTGGCCGTCATGTAAATGCCGCGTCACGCAAAAGCTTAGAAATTCAAGCGTTCTCTATCACAAAACCAATAACCCTTTAGAAGCGAAAATTTGTATGACAATTAGTTTTCAGCTGCTCTAATGCATCGTGAAAGTAAAATCTCGGTAGGATCGATAGTTTTTTAGTGTGAATTTTAGTGACGTCATGTGAAAACCGACAATTGGTGTGTTATATGAATCGCCTGAGCTAAGACAACAACAACTAATAGTATTTTGAAATCGTAGAAGAGCCCTCGAGCTCGTTCCCACTTCTGTCTTCTCCCACTTATGATCATCCTTTCCGGAAAGGAATGATCGTGTCTTCTAGACTTGCTTTGACGATCAATCTCTTATATTAGGACCTATTAGGAGCTGAAGTGGTATTTGCAGACGGTTTTTACCATCCTGCGACTACGAAGAGGGACCTACATTTGGCATAAGAAGCACTTTCCTTAATCTTCTTACAAAATATAATTAATCCATTAGTTATCACAATCGTTCACACTGAAACCTTGAAACTCAGGGTAATCCCATACCTTGTCTAAAAAAGAATGCATGGCAAAACAAACTTTCTGTTTCTTTTCCTCATGAACTCAATAAGCACAACGTATACTGCACAGATCAATGTTATTGATGCAGATGTCGATGTTGGTAGTACTAATGCTACTACCTGGGTACTACTCATGGACAGTGACTTAAAATCAGTATATGCAGTTTTGTTCAGTTGTACATATCCAGTGATTTGTGACAATTGTTCAGAAACGCCTGATCCTGGGTTGTAAGAAATACCCTTTAAAGGTGAACAATAAACTGAACGTTTTGTTACTCTATCTGCTGGATAGGCAAATTCCATTGTGTACAAATAACAGCCGTAGCCAGGTGTCTTTTTCGGCGCGAAAATACCTTCGACTTTCTGGAGGGAGGGGTTGGGGGGTTGACGTCGTTGTTTTAAGCACTTTTTGGAATACACATATTTTCCGAGATTGGTAAAGGTCATGATTAGGATATTACAACCATTTTTATGTTTTCTCTTTCATTGGAATTTATTTATTTTTTAACCTCTTGAATTTTTATCCCGTTGCTCGTTTTCTCGTCACTCCGTTACTCGTTACTGCGTTATTGTGTTTAGTAACACCCGAGGAGCCATTTCCCCTCAATCAATCAATCAAAGACTTTATTTAACTTCGAATTTAACAGAATTACTAATATCTCTGAAAGATATAAATCTATAAAATTGAATTAAAGTACATCAATAGGTGAAATAAATAGATAGATTTATAAAAATTAAATAGTATAGATAAAAAATATTCAAGTATGTACAGGTCATTTGAGAATTTAACATTGGTCACAAAAAAGAACATCATTCATTATCCAGTTGAACAGTTTTTAGTGCAATTTTTATGGCAGCAAGAAAAGTAGACACACGGACATTATCCGGCAAAAAGTTCCATAGTTTGCTGGCATGATATTCGAAAATAAATGAAGACCATAATTTGTCGGATTTACACATGGAATAACTAGTCTGCGTTTGCCTCGCAACTGTAGATGCTTGTTTGGCGCTCGGTAAAAAGATCAGAAATATAACTAGGTGCAGCATTATTTAATGCTAGAAAAACTAATATGAGCATATCATTTATTCGGCGTGCTCTCAGACTAGACTGATTTATTTCTTGTAGTAATTTTTCATACGAATTATTAAAGTCATTAAAAAACGAAACAAAGGATGGATTGATTGAGATTCCCAATTACATCAGCATTTTTGCTTGCCACAGTGGAGCCAGACGGTGGAATAGTAGGTTGAATGTGGAAGAAAATAAGCCAGATACAGCCTCTTCTTGGCATGCATGAGTAGGGAAACTCAACCCAAATTTCTGTTTAAAGATCCATTTTAAAGCTTGTTAAGTACTTGTAACTGCTGCAGGAATATTTTTTAAATCGCTATTGCGCGAAATGTTTCCTTTGGTGGAAAACACATTAACATCTATCTGTAAACATCACACTGCAACTAACAAGAGGGAACGCATTTCAAGGCTCGCAATTAAGTTTTGTTGTTGAAGTGTATTGAAAACGATCCACAGAATCTCCACCCCAAAAATCGAAACTTCCATTCATTGCCTTGGAACTCAATGAATCGAACTTGATTCGCACAAATTTCCGAGTATCTTCGACAACGACTCGAAAGACGTCCGGTGAGTAATTACTGAGCCCTCGGGTACAAAAACCAGCGTTTTTCTCCATTTCTGAACCACACACGCAGGGGCGTAGCCAGGATTTTTCCAGAGGTACGCAAGACTTTTTCTACATCGTCTCCCCCCACCCCCTCCCCCACTCCAAATCTCAACATTTTTTAAGATGCCTTTATTAAAGGTGGGGTTAACAGTTGTAAGCCAAAGCATTTTTGCTATTTTTGCTGTTTATGAAATGTCACAACCTCTAAAATTCCTTAATTCTGTCGGCTTGTTATGTTCGTTGACGTCAACCGTTTATCGTTAATTCAGCTATTAAAAATCAAGCTTGCGGTGACTTTAGTTTACAGATGACTGTTTTCTATCGCTTTTTGTCACATTGTTTTTGACCGACAAAAGCACCCCACATTGACTTAATTGTGCCCTATTTCGTCTACTGCGAAGAGAGGTAGTGGAGAAAACAAAGCGTTCACGCTTTACATCATCAAGCCTGCTATATAAATAAATCATCCAAGATTAGGTTCTCCAATTAATGTCGTCGCTTCTCTGAAAACCGATTTTTTTAGTTATATTTATTTTATTTTTTCTCCTCAACTTTTTAGGTACGCACTTGCGAACCGTGCGCACAAGTTGCTACGCCCCTGACACCCAATTTCGTACCCAGAGTCTTCTGACTTTTTGGTCAGCGGGGCAACGCTGTACCCAGAAGACTCTGGGTACGAATTTGAAACCGGGCGAATTTTAAAGTCCCGTAAACTGGAGTACTTAAGGCCTGTTTACATGGAGGTGGAGGACCCCAGGGAATTAAGATAACTCGCTTATGTGGGGTAACCTCGCCTGTCCGTATCATTTCTTATTTTAATTTGGTTACGTACGTTTACATGATAGATGTGGATGATTACCACATCTTTTCTGGAGTCCTTCACCTCCATGTAAACAGGTCCTTGGTAACAATGACAAAGATATGGCTGAAGAATGTAAACAATGTACCAGGTTGGCAATTCACACCTTTATTAATGCGACCACTAGGCGTTTTCTTTAGACTGTTCTTTGCTATCTTAGACTTGAAATGAACCCTAGAGATATGGTCCAATATATTTTTGGAGTGTGACTTTTGAGAAAGTGTGAGAAATAACATGTTGTCGTCTCGTCCTGACTGTATCACAAAACTCCTTTGTTCAGTCTGTCATTGGCTTAAGTCTAATTTGAACTGGATTTCTGTCAAATTTCATCTCTTTTTAAGTAGTAGATTGCAAGATAATGTTGTGTATGTTACAAGTCAAAATCAAATTTAGATTAAATTTTTTAATCCAGGTTAATTCTCAATTATCTTTGTCTCCTTAAGCCCTAATTATTCATGAATTAGGGCTAGGAGACAAGGAAATTGTGAATCAACTTAGGTTAGACGTACATTTTAACCTTAATATCGGCCTAGTCCCTAGGCATTCTCGGGTTGGTCAATCCTTGGACTCTACCGTGAGCTAACACCGCGGCAAAACGCACTGCGCACGAGCACAAAATTTAACATCCGGTCAGCTTTTTATTTCCGGTCTAGTATATAAAAAAATTGCGTAAGCACAACATTGCCGTCGTGCCAAGTTTAAAAGCAAAAAGGGAGAAACAGACAAAAAAGGGAGCGAAAATAATCACCTCATTCGAAAACTTATATATTTTTCTAGTGTCAAACTTTTGCGCCACATGGTTATCTGTTTGCACCAACGGTGAAAATAATGTTTGAAGTTTGCAGGTCGCGAGCGCGCGACAAGACGAATTTGTTTTTACTGGCTTTCTTGCATGCTACTGGTTTGGCATAAGCTTTTGGGAGAAGGCGATAACTAAGAAAAGGATGGCAATACTTATGAAAGAAACCAAAATAAAGACGTCATGATTATCATTAACACTAGAACCAGGAAATAAAATTTTAGCCCGTTCAATAATATTTTTATTATCAGAGAAAACAAGAACTCAAAACAAAAGATGGGCGGGATTTAGTAACAACTTCGACTTTGATGACTGCAGTCACGAACACCTGGAGCTTTCAGTGCCGGGAAACGAAACATGCCTATAAATGACTTTCATTCAAGAAAATGCCTATTTAATTCTTTTACATCGTTGTTCTTTGGTTGAAGACTTCAGTAATTTCAGACTGTGCGACTCTGCTGCATCTCATGCAAACACGAAACTTCCAGCCGCTAAATACATGGCATGAAAATTTCAACTTCTTAAAGCCATCGAATCAGCATTCGCTCTCTGATTCTGAGAATGAAAAAAAAAATAAATAGAGTTGTCAACTTGCTGCCAACCTCAACAGTATAATTAAGCTTATTTTTCATGACAATCAACTCTGAAGAGTTTTGTTTCAAAACACGGTAAAACTCACTGGTAAATTAAACTACAAAGCGATTGTGTGTTGTCGTTTTCCAAATAAAGCTCGAATCGGCTTTAAGACATGAAGACTGAGAAATTGAAGAACTGAAAATTAGAAGTACAAAACACAAGCTTGCAATATTAACTTTTTATGTCTTAGTTTCAGCCAGCTTAAGTGAAAAATAACAGTCAAAAATTTGTTTTCGTGAATGAAAATCAGTTTACCTGACGCTCTAGCCAAAATTAAACACTGAGTTATTATCAACTTACCTTTTCTGAATCTAATCGACTAATTGTTTCAGTGATCTGTGCCTGGTTATCCATAAAGGCAATTTCAATAACTACAAAATAGTCAAAAACACGAGCAGCATGAAGCAGAACAACTGAACCTGGGGGCACAAGCTGCACACAGAATGAATCCGAGCGTGCGCGGGAGACTTTGATCTGACTGGAAAGTGACTAAAAGTCGACTGAAAAAGAGACCGGAAATGCTCAAACTAGCACATGCGTAGACGTTTTGCCGCGGTGTTTCGTGAGCTGTAACCTCACCGAGAGAATTGCATAAATTGCGTTCACTGCGACGATCATTTCTTCATTTTCATTTCATTTCCGCAGTTCATATATTATTTATTTCATATATCATTAACACTCATCTCTTTCACGGGAACATATGAACCCACAATTGACCTGCTCCCAACGTCAGTGGCTTCATAGCTCAGTTGGTTAGAGCATCGCACCGGCATCGCGAGGTCACGGGTTCAAATCCCGTTGAAGTCCTGAATTTTTTTCAGGCTTCTTTACGCAATTGCATAAATTGCGTTCACTGCGACGATCATTTCTTCATTTTCATCACCGAGAGATACTCGCCCACTCTCTCTCAGACTTCGCGCGGACAACGGATCAAGAGAGAACGCCTAGGGACTAGGTTGCCTTAATGTAATTTTGGACTGTACCATACAGATTATAATTTCGAGAAAGGTTGTCGGAAAAAATGTGTACGCGACAATCCCGAAAGGTAATATGCGATATGATCATGCAGTGACTGTTCCTAACGGCTCTAGCTATCAAACCTACTTTTGCCTCTTGCCTTTAGCACTTTCAAACATACCTGGTGAAATTTTCGAAAATAACCTCCGGGACTTATATTTTTCAAAGGCTGTTTTTGAGGGGCTTATTTTTGGATGGGCTTACATTCGGAGGGGCTTGTATACGGAGGGAAATTTGCGTTTGAAAATGACCTAGGCGTATACTGGGAAGGAAACTTACGTTTCAAAATTGATTGGGCTAGCTCATAGTTGGAAGGAAATTTATGTCAGTAATTTTCAGAAAGTTTTTACTGAAACTCGCCTTGAGGACAAAGATCTTACTAAAACTGAGCCATGCAAATACTTTTTCTACGTAGAACGAGGAAATCCAAGCCAAGAGTTAAGAGTGAACCACGCAAACAGCAATATACTGTGAGACTTTTTGACTGCAAGCATTTGGCACACGTAATAGTTCTTTGACAAATGCAAAAGTTTATGTGTTACTGTACATTTTTTGCTTTGTTTAATTTTGAATTTGAGGGCAATTTCCAATTACAAGTCCCCGGGGACTTGTATTTGGAGGGGGGATTTAACGGAGGGTTTTTCACGTTACGAGGTTGGGGGCTTGTATTTGGAGGCGCTTATACATGGAGAGGGTTATTTTCAGAATTTTAAGGTGACTCTACGGTATGTCCGTGGCCCCCTGTGCTATTCTTTCAAATTTCTTTGTAGCCAACAGTGCACTCTACAGTACCGCAAATGATCCCCAAAATGGACTACAAATTATCCTCGACTGCAAGTGATCCCCAAAGTCGACCTCGAATGATCCCGAAAGAAAAACAGGAATGACTTGGACTCAAGTTAGCTGATCATCGTGTCGATTTTATTATTATTACTAAAAGTCAAAAATTTTATTTCTCAAATAAATACATAATAAAAACTAAATGAAAAAACATCATTCAAGTGTAAAAGCGAAGTGGGTAGGCAACACACTTTTTTACCTCATGCTAAAATGCTGCTTGTTCTAATGAATTTGTCTCTGGCGGGTAGATTATACCTCTGAAGGAAAACGTTTTGACTGAGCAAATGTAATTTTGCCGCCTATTTCATACTGACAGGTCATGACACGCATTTTCTGCGGTTATTGTTCTTTCTGGTCGGCATGATTTGCCCTTTGATGCAAGAGCATTTCCTTTGACCTCTTTTGAAATGCAATGCTCTTCATTGTCGCTAAATAAGGGTTTTAGGTTGATTAATTTTCTCCAAAGTGCCTCCCGGATCAGAATAATTATAAGCGATTTTCTTTTTAGTCCGTGAATGTGACGGTTTCCTACGATGTTTTATCACGCGACAACAGCTACTTACCTCGCTTTCGCGTTTCTCATTACCAGGTTTAGATTCCTGGTAACTGTCTGTCCAGCAAAGGCACAACAAATGAATATACATATAAGCGACAATAAAACTATTCAAAACATGTTCATGAGCTGTACGCAAGTCGCTATTTCGAAAGAAAAACGAAACTTGTGGACATTGATAAGTTTGGGGGCATTTTGACTTGTGTTGATGTTGTCATGTTCTTTTTCGTAACGGACACCCAAGTTACGAACAAATGTCTTGCTGTTTATCACTTAAAATTAACACTTCAGAGAAAAAATCAAAATTAAATATTCTGAAATTAATTTCACACTTCCAAAAAGATCAGTAAAGTCAATAAAGCTCTTGTTATGTAGAGGGTGCCCGGCTTTGTATTCCTCAGTAGACAAGTTGAACTTCTAGACGTTAAAATAATAAAGTTTTTTCTGCGTAACGTCCTGCCTGTCTTAAATTTTTCAGCGACGAAAATTGACCTGAGATGTTTCGTCCTCTTTCCCTTTTTCTTTAGAAGGCGAGAGAAAAAAGGTTTCTTTTTATAATCAGTCCTTTTTTGTTATCAATCCCATAAAATCCATTCCATTCCTCAAGTTTTCACGGGATCATTAGCGGTCGACTTTAGGGATCACTTGCGGTCGAGGATTATTTGCGGTCCATTTTGGGGATCATTTGCGGTCTGAGATCATTTGCGGTTGGGGATCATTTGCGGTACTGTACTGCACTCAAAATTACCTCCCACAATATCTTTTGCGATTGTATGCACTTTTTCTGACAACCTTTCTCGAAATAGCTGTATATTTACAGGGCTGTCATTAAGAGCCGGGGGCCGGGGATTTCCTCCGGCTACTATGAGTGTGGCCCCCGGCTACTTTTATTGGAAAACTAAAAGAAAAATAGAAGCAAAAGAAATCCCTAGCTGTTTGATTCCCCTCCTACTTGTTTACCCGGCAACTTAAAATCTAAGTGACATCCCCGTATTTACATTGCTCATGAAACATAAGGCAACAATTAAAGAATTAGCACTCTCAAATTGCTTCCTAATGATCAAGTAAAGGCTAAATTAAACTTGTGACATGCGCAGTAGCAGTTTTTGGAGCTTAAAAGTAAAGTCGAGAATTTTAACTTACAGTATATGGGATTAAAAAAAACTTTACCTTACATAACTTTGAGTGTTATTTTTGTCGGTAATGGTGTTTCAGAAGAGGTTAACTCACCTCTTGGTGTGTGTAACCTGTGACTCTTTGCTGAGGAAAAGAATGCTGCTGCACAGTCACACCCACCAACCAATCAAGTGCAAATATGCATTTTTGAAATACCTTTGGGTGAAGCTTTGAAATGATACATGTCTGCAAAAATCCCCGAGGGGGGGAGAGGGTTTCACTTTCTGGCCCACGGACTACCGTGTTTTGAAAACTAACAACAATAGCAACAGATTAATTCTTTTTTTTTCTTATTTTACTACAAAATTCACCGATATGGTTTTTAGAAACATTGACTGATAATAATGTTTAATTTGCTAACTACACATTTTTTTTATCATTTTAATTATATAACGAAAAGGACAAGTCTGCTTTAATAATCTTAAACATGGAGGATTATTCCACTGCTAAATTGAAAGCTAAATGCTTTGACCATTTTGGAGGTTTGAATTTGGGTGGAAAAGGACTATCCAGGGTACCTGATGCAGTCACTGAACTGAGTGAAGTACGGGAACTTAAGCTTAAAGACAATAATCTGACTGAGTTGCCAACAAGTATTAACAAGCTGAACAGGCTTCAAAGCCTGTATTTGGATAAAAACAATCTTACTGAATTACCTGCCGAGATTGGTGACCTAAAGGAGCTGTGGGAGCTGAGTGTGAGTAACAACCAGTTGGTTGGTTTACCTACCAGTATTCAAAAGCTGAACAAGCTTCGATATCTGCACTTGGATGGAAACAATCTTACTGAATTACCTGCTAAGATTGGTGAACTAATGCAGCTGAGGGAGCTGAAAGTGAGTAACAACCAGTTGGTTGGTTTACCTACCAGTATTCAAAAGCTGAACAAGCTTCTATATCTGCACTTGGATGGAAACAATCTTACTGAATTACCTGCTAAGATTGGTGAACTAATGCAGCTGAGGGAGCTGAAAGTGAGTAACAACCAGTTGGTTGGTTTACCTACCAGTATTCAAAAGCTGAACAAGCTTCGATGTCTGCACTTGGATGGAAACAATCTTACTGAATTACCTGCTAAGATTGGTGAACTAAAGAAGCTGAGGGAGCTGAAAGTGAGTAACAACCAGTTGGTTGGTTTACCTACCAGTATTCAAAAGCTGAACAAGCTTCGATGTCTGCACTTGGATGGAAACAATCTTACTGAATTACCTGCTAAGATTGGTGAACTAAAGGAGCTGAGGGAGCTGAAAGTGAGTAACAACCAGTTGGTTGGTTTACCTACCAGTATTCAAAAGCTGAACGGGCTTGTACGGCTTTACTTGGGTGGAAACAATGTTACTGAATTACCTGCTAAGATTGGTGAACTAAAGGAGCTGGGGGAGCTGAAAGTGAGTAACAACCAGTTGGTTGGTTTACCTACTAGTATTCAAAAGCTGAACTGGCTTAAAGAGCTGTTCTTGGATGGAAACAATCTTCTTGAATTACCTGCTGAGATTGGTGACCTAAAGGAGCTGAGGGAGCTGAGTGTGAGCAACAACCAGTTGGTTGGTTTACCTACCAGTATTCAAAAGCTGAACAAGCTTCGATATCTGCACTTGGATGGAAACAATCTTACTGAATTACCTGCTAAGATTGGTGACCTAAAGGAGCTGAGTTGGCTGAGTGTGAGTGGTAATCCTTTAACTGTTGATGCTATACGTCTTGCTCTTAAGTTGGAGAAAAGAGGACTGTCTACTGATATTGCAGGTGAGGACCACTAAAGGCTAAGTTAAATTGAACCCTTATAACATTAATAACAAATAAACTCTAAAAATCTCCCTGAAAAGATAAGTCCAGTTTGTGACATCTAAATAGCGACACTTGACATCCAAGGAACCACAGGAAACCCAAAGATTAGTGTGCTGCTCGACTGACTACACTGTGACTAGGGCTTGCAGCAATTTTAGCGATCAGAGACACGCGCCGTCAAATCAGTTTTAAATGTATGGGGTTTTAGCACAAACAAGTATTTTCCATAAACTAAAAGGCCACAGACTCATTTTTCTGTTTGAAACTGTATCTGACCACACGAATTAATATTTTATTTTATCATATTTGATTCACGCGGCATTATTTTCGACTGACTGCAGTGATCTAAGACCAAAAACAAGGAATATCAGTAAGTTCACCTCCTAGTGAATTAGCCCCCTACAAGTTCGCCCTCTACTTTCTGAGTTCACCACGCACTGGTATACTCGAAATTCGAGTTAAATCACGCACTTACAGCAGACATTTATTTAAATCATACCTGTGAATTGGATTGGGTTATTGAAGGAAATCTCTGTAATCGAAACTTAACTGTTTGGTAGGTCGGCGGCAATTGGTGTCTCGAAATCTAAGACCTAAATGACCTTGAAAAAACTGCATGAAAACAGAATCTTCTTACAAGTTGCTTAATCAAAGAGTGAAGTTAAATAAAGTTAAACTCACTGACTTCCAAAAACAGTCCCAATCATGACATGAATGAAAATTCAATGAAACATTTACAACAGCAAGTTGCCAACAGGGGCACCCAACGAGAATATAGTTCAAAACCACTTAAACATAGCACTGTTAAACGTATTTTAGTATTTAAACGGTAGATATAGGCATATTTTCATCCCCTAAAAATTTTTCATCTGTTCGGATTTCCTAGCTGAAAGCCTAGTGATCCGAAAATCATAGGGATCCAAAGTTACCCTTTCGAAAATTTCAGCCAGAAAAAAGGTTCCCGAAAATTCTAGGTGACCTTTTTAGGGTAAAAATCCGTTAAAAATAGGCAATTATACCATTTTTTTGATGTTCGAAAATCATAGGAGAGGCAGGCAAGCAAGAATTTTTACAACAAATGTTCCGAAAATTCTAGATCTAAAATCGTCTTCCGAACAGATATTCTTCCGAAAATTGTCGTTGGGTGCCCCTGTTGCCAAGTTGAGAGTGATTTGTTGAAAGCTAACGATTGTAACGAATGTATAGCTTTGCAAAGTCGCTAAATTTTACAGACGTAAAACACTTTGTCTCACTCATGGATAGTTTCATTTAATTGCCTTAAATGTTAAACTTCGATCTTGAATAAAGCATGTTTCCAGGTCTGATATAGTTACTGTGAGTTTCAGGAAACGGCTTTCTGAGAGAGTTAACCTTTCACCGTAACCAAGAAACAGTCAACTTAATTCCTGCTGACAAAAAAAACTTACGCTTGCAGTCAATTGAAAGCTAGTAACTTTTATACGTACACTATTCTATAATTTTATTTATTTATACATTTTATTGCAAATACGTACCTTTCTTGTAATGACTTTTTAAGTGTCTATGTAATTAAAGTATGTTTTATTTTTAATATTTAATTTATAAGTTACATATTTTTATCACGTATTTGATTATATGTAATCTACATAGAAACATTGATGTACACTAAAATAGTGACTTTCATATAGGTTGCAGGTACCCACATTAGCTAGAAAGTGTGACATTTCACATTGGCGCGCTGTGATGCAGATCGTTGGACAGTGCGACGGGTAGACGTACGGTCAAGTGACTTCCAAAATTTCTCTGCCATAATTCTCTGCATGTAGCAGCTCTCCTAATCCTAAATGCCAATTGCATGGTTCGGTACCCTAACTGTGAAATAATGGGAAATAATGATAAACAGTGATGTGTTATTGATTTCTGCGACCAATGAGGAAACACCTTACGAGCAGCTCCTACATTTACTGTTTAGTTCTAATATTGAAAATCAGACAATTAAGAAGAAGCAAGCACTAAAAATCTTGAGACAAAAGTATTTGTTCTCATTGAAAACTAAAACATTGAAAGCAAAAGATAACTGGCAGTTTATAATAGTTAAGTTTTTTTGAAAACCTCAAATCAAAATTTAACTGCACAAAGTTAGCTACTTTATGTTGCTTATACTAAAGGCGATGAATTACATATAAATAAAACAAGAAAAAGCGAAGCAGCATTTGTTAATGCCCATCCATGAAAATCATATGTTTACTGTAAATGAAATCATTGAACTTGATAAAACAAAACTTAAACTACATTAATTTGGAAGAAGGAGAAATCTTACACCAGAAAGCTCAGAAAAAATTCTGATCTCCATCTTAGAATCGAACTCACGACCCTCCGAAGGTAACGATAACAGTTAAAAAGTAACTTTCAATTCACTTACCTTCTATGGTAAGATTTCTTTAATTATGTTCTTGATTGTTAGCATTAATCTGAGTAGCAGCTGCTAGTAGTCGGTAAACACTGAATCATATTAAGAACATTACTGTGGGTAAAAAGACCATCAAGACTAAACAAGTACATTGCAGTGCGGACACTCAAACCGGGACACTTGGAAGAAAATTGTCCAGTCACAACGTTTTCTCAAAATAAAAGATTCTCAAGTGTTTTTGCAGACAGACCAATAAAATTCAAGTATTTAACTATGCAACCGCTGAAATTTTTAAAACCGTTTGAACTTACCTGAACTCTTAGGAAACAGCCCTCAGATTGATGGATGTTGTTGCACGGCCCGTATGCAAAAAAACTCGAGAATCTTGTTTTCAGAAAACGTTGTGATTGGACAATCTTCTTCCAAGTGTCCCGGTTTGAGTGACCGCACCGTAAATTTGAACAAAGCATACAGATTTTCACTTTTATTTGCCCATAAAGGGATTAATGAGTTGTGAAACTGTGCCTCCATGATCTGTAGGTTACCGGTTGGTTCTAATAAATAAAGACTGACGGAACATGTAAGCAAATTATGCAAATCATCTCATTACCATCTTAGAAATATTAGCAAGATCAGAAAATATCTAGATGAAAATTCTACTGAGACGTTAGTCCATGCATTTGTTTCATCAAAGCTGGACTACTGTAATGCTTGACTTATTGGACTTCCAAAATACCAAATAGACAGACTTCAGTCAGTACTAAATACTGCGGCTGGCATTATAACTTTTACTTGTAAATATGATCATATAACTCCCGTTCTAGTTAGACTACACTGGCTCCCTGTTTCCTATCGTATAAGGTTTAAAGTGCTACTGTTGACTTCCAAAGCACTTAATGATTTATCTCCTGAATACATATCTGAGCTACTTAATAAGCCTAAATATACCCGCAATCTTAGATCTCAGTCTCAACATCTGCTTAGTGTTCCTAAATCCAGAACTGTTACCTATGGCGATAGAGCATTTTCTGTCTGCGCTCCTAAGCTATGGAATGAACAGCCTTTTCAGTTGCGCATGTCGTCAAATATACAAGCATTTAAATCAGGACTGAAGACAATGCTTTTTAAAACGGCCTATCTTTAGATGGGCATTTGCTTTATTATTTTGCATTGCATACTATTATGTATTTTCTTTTGTTTTCTACTTTTTTTGTAGTGTGTAAGTTGTAATCAGTAATTATTTTTAAATTATATATTATATCTAATTGTAGAAATTAGAATGGTAGGATGAAATTGTAAAAACTATTTTATAGTTAGTATAAGGTTTAAAATTGTAAAGCGCTGTGAATAATTCGTATTAATAGCGCTATATAAATGAATTATATTATTATTATTATTATTAGTTTGAATTATTTTTAGATGGTTCTATTTTGATTAACTTTTTGATGCTTTTTATAATTTGTTATTAGTAGTTTTTTAGATAGTCATTTTACGACAATTCTCTTTCGTACATAAGAAGAATGTACGTAGGGTATATATTTTAATATTCATATTCTTGAATCTGTAAATAGTCTATTTTTTTGAATCTATGAATAAAGTTATTTTATATTTATTATTATTATTATTATTATTATTATTACAAGTAAAACAACACATTTACGAGGGTCATGTCTGACACATGATTTTAAAATTTTTTATCCTTTGTAGCTCCCAAGGAAATAGAAGCACGAGGAGAAAGAGCGCAGCTTGTTTATCGACGTGCTCTTAGAGATGGAGCTGTTAGTGTTCAGCGTTCTCGGATATTGCTTATTGGTCAGGATAGGGCAGGAAAAACAAGCTTGAAAAAATCTCTCATTGGTCTGCCATTCAATCGTAACGAAAATAGTACTGAAGGAATTGAAGTAGATCCGTCAATTTTTCAAGTGCATGCGGACGAAGTTAAGAACTGGCAACCCATTGATACGAGTGAACGAGGGTTGCTGGGTTGTTCTAAAGATGTGGCACAGATGGTGGTGGAAAAGCTTTGTTTTCAGGAGGAGGGAGAAGATGCAGAAATACACAACAGTGACCAGCTTAAAAATGAAAATTACAGGAGTGGGACAAAGGCGGATGATGCTGAAGGTGAAAAGAGAGACGATTCATTTGTGAACCAGGTTTGTTTCCAGTTATATCTTGGCTTTTGTATTGTACTTTAATCAAGTATTGCTTATAGCAGAAATAGGTGGTCCGCCTACCCTCACGAAACTTGGTTTAAAATAGCACATACTGTATACGTTTATTGAGAGTCCCTTTACAGGGCTTTTCAGTCACTATGGGCTAACTATTTACAGCTAACTAGATACAAGAAAAAGTAATTAAAATAGTCAACTAATTATAAGTACTAAAATGATGAAAATCATTTTTAAAAGATGTTCGTTAATCTCTTCCTAAAAATTCGACAATCTGCTACTTCCTTCATGTCTTTGGGTAGTTTGTTCCAACAGGTAGCCCCTCTAAAGGCGAAAGATCGCTGCCAGGTTTTAATCTGCATCTCGGTAGATTGAGGTCTTTTTTGTATCGTGTATTTCTATCGTGATGAGCTTGTTGTCTACGAGTAAATGTTTGACTAAGGTACCCTGGTGCTCGACCATTTAGGCACTTATGGACCATAACACAATCATTTAAAAGTAGTTTATCAGTAATAGGAAGCTATCTAAGTGACTTCAATTCCTCAGAAATGTGATTATACTTCCGGAGACCAAGAGCTATCCTGCCGGCAAAGTTCTGAACTAATTGCATTTTTTTTTACATTTGGTTTAGAGGTGTTGCTCCATACGGTGGAACAATAAAACAATTTACTGAAAACAAAAGTATTAATTAGTAAAAGTAGCGTCTTTCTATCGAGAAGGTGCCTGAGTGCCTGATTCTATTGATCCTAATTAATCTATCCATGCAATGTGAAACTGCTTTGGTCACATGTTCATTATAACTTAGAGAGGAGTCAATAATTGCACCCAGATCCTTGGCCACAGGTACAGGTTTAATTTCTTTGCCCAGTAATTTAACCACCGGAAAAATGGTAGGCTTCTCGTTATCTGCGGAACTCCGATAACCAGGAGCTTAGTCTTATCAGGGTTGATGACTAGGGAATTTGTACGACACCGTCTTACAATAGCAAGCACTCAATTAAGCACCACCCGCGTAAGTTTAAGCCGTGGTCGGGCGGGGTTCGAAACTGGATGGGTAACATTATAGACATTATATTGTCTGCCGGATGAAAAAGAAGATAGAAATCAAACAATTACCGCGGGTTCGCTTTCTTTGATCCATCGGTGGGAAAAGTGCCAAGTTGATATTGGGTGGTCCTCGGTGTAACATGAGTTCCAAGGAAGTTCCAAGGTCGATTTTTGAGAAGAAAGCAAGGTTCCGACTGTAAAAAGCCGAACTGAAAGGCACTTCCTACTCGCATACTTAGCGGACAGAAGCAAATTCGTCTGCTAAGTGAGACGCAATTAAAAATATTCATTAAATGTCTCGATTTGCGCTCTTCTTCTGAAGCTGATAGTCTAAATTTCTTCAATTTTCTTTGTAAAAAAAACTTCTGCCGTCGAAATTCATCGCTTGCAATTGAGGATCGCTGTTATTGCAGACCGCCACTAAGAGATACTAGGCATATACTGTAAATGACCTTTTAAGCGTCCGGGGCGTCTATTTAATTTTAGGAGTCCAAGCGGGGGCGTTTAATAGATAGGCTTCATGTGTTTAAAGGAGAGAGGCGTTTATTCTCATAACTGTAACAAGCTCAACAAAAATTATGTACTTTAGGCAAAAATATTAAGAGAGTTTAAAAATAGCCGAATAAGCCGTCTAGAGATCCTTATCGCTCAAATCCCAACATCGATGTCAGAATCCTCGCTCAGGGTTATTGTGTTATGCCTTCGTTAGTCTATCCATACTTTGAACTTGACATTGAACAAGATGAAATACACAAAGCCTTGTTTATTATAAAAGCAAGAATCTGAATGGATTGAATGATTTTGATCCCTTTTTCTTAATCGTACTATTTTGTAGTAATTCTCGTAGGGGGCGTCTAAATCAATTTTATCAGCGTAGAGGGGAGCATTTGTTATATAAGAGGCGTTTATTTGGAAGTGGGTATCTATGAGGTCATTTACGGTAGCCAACTTAACAATTAACATTCTGCCGCGTTGTGCGATCCACGCGCGATGCGAATGTAGACAATTTTTTAACCTTCGCTGCGCGAGGAATGAGTAATGATATTCTCAACAATAAAATTTTATTGTTACTGAATGTCAACGTTTAGAATTCCGTTATTTGCAACATTCATTTAAGGCCCCGTTAACACAAATCGGAATATATTTGAAACCGCATATTCATTATTATCATAGTTTTTTTACGTTAATGGGGTTTCCGTTCACATGAAACATGAAACCAATGAATCCGCTGACCGCGAAACCGCATCTTTTTGAAACTGCTCTCCCCAATGTTTCTTTGCAGTGCATCATGGAAGCCTGCGTGGTAGGCGTTAATAGGGAGTTTAAGATACGGAGACTACGGACTACGAACTACTGCTGGACGAGCGTTGTCCTTTGTTCGTAGCACTGGGTTGAGTTGTGCAAATATAGAACGTTAAGATTGCACTACAGACAGTAGACTACGACAGAAGAGGCCGAGAGGGAAACAACACGCAAAGATTTTCTTGTTTTCATCACAGTTCACAAAAATGCAAGTCAGTTTTGCATGTGATCTTATCTTTAGAACAATGAACAACTTCTTCCATACTTGAAGGAAGCAATTACGTCGGGTGAAATTGGTAAACAAAGTTTTGGTTACACAGGTTTTATTTTTTCGCCCATGAATACTTATGTCAAATACTCAGATATAGACAGAAATAGTAATAGCTCATTTATTAGATTTAGAAGATGAACTTCTCCGGATCTGATGTAGTTTGAAGTACTGAAATGCCGAGTTTCGATTGTCTCGAGCATGTTTACATCATTTTCATTCAGCAAATGGCGCGATACAAAAACTCGCATAAATAAAGGTTGCACAAGTGCAAAGACTCACTAATCAGTTCGAACAAACATTGAAACTTTTCAAGTGCGAAGAGAAAGTAAATTACCTGCACGATTTCTCTTCTCCTAGGCCGTCAATCTGAATTCTGCGTAAACAGCTAAGCTTAAATGTAGTCACAACAGTGGATTAAAAGCGTAAATCTGAGCAGAAATTAGACACAACTTACATATTTCGCTTCCCTCTCACTTAAAGCAGGTGAATTGAAAACTTTTTTACGAAAAGACGAGATTCTTGAATTACCGAGATGGCAAAATACGAGCAAAATGTTCTCCGTAGTCCCGACTACGCGAAACAGCTCAACAACTCACCGTAGCCGCAAGACTACGCGAGAAAAATGAACAGTCACGTGGTTGTGATCATGCGCAGTAGCATATTTATCCGTAGCCGTAGTCCGTAGTCGCCGTATCTTAAACTCCCTATTAGGGGAAGGGGAAGGGGGAATTTGGAGGTTTCTATCGAACAAACAATGAAGCAAGACATTTTTTAGATTTTGTATGCAAAATGTTTGTCCACACCAAGCAACAAACAGGTATGTGCAGGTTTGAATCTGTTCGGTTGATGCCCATCTCCCCAATGATAATGTCTTGATGTTTGAGTTGATCCATCTGTTTTTTTGGAATAATAGTACAGTAAACACCCGCATATAAGAACAAATGGATCGAGAACATCAGGCTGAAATTTGGTTCATAAAGCACCATGTAAGTAAGAACCAGTCAGCCTGATAAATAAAACATGTGTTTATATTATAAGGGGAGGATGTCAGAGTAAGAAAGCAATGTAACCGTATGGTCGCTGCTAGTCAATTACAAAACTATAACAAATTTCTTGGCTGAACAGTCAATGGTGGCCCCGGTTGAGTTAATACAGCATGACTGTCAGAAATATTTAAAAAATGTTGAAACTGTTACATTTCTACTCGTAAATGTTAACTAGTTTACTACCTAACAGATTTATTGTTTTATTTTTATTTTATTTTTTATTGTTTTATTTATTAATCTACTGATTTGTTTACTTACTTATTTATTTATTGGTAATAAAAATTAAAATATGCTAACTAAATCTCTGGTAACATGTTAAGTGTAGTATTTCTGAAACACTGTTTAAGAACATATTAAGAACATTATCATATACATTCCCCAAAAGTAATGATAGCTATATTTCAGGTTAAAACACCGCAGTTTTCAATTGCATTTTTGTCCTCAGTATTGTCAGGCCGTTTTTTACATGAGGAAACTTTCAAAGTTTGATTTTAAGTGACGCGACACGAGGAAACATCTCTTTTTCAAAAACGTAGTGTTCCGCGCGTTTTTGCTTTTTGTTCCTTTAATTGCTTTAGGAACAACCTAGGAACGCACAATAAAGGAACCTTATTTGCACAACAGGAACAATGGTCGGCAAATTTCGGAACAATCTGGTCCGTTAGCAGCAAATTGGAACACAAAGTTCCTTTTCGTTTTAGTCAAAAGGAACAACTGGTTCCTCTTTTATCCTTTCAGGAACAAAAGGTCCTCTTTCAACAGTTCCGATTTCCCTTCATGTTCCTTTCGAAGTGATTGGGGAACAAATGTTCCCAATCTAATTTCTCGCTCTACACAGTAAGGAACAAATTGTTCCAATTTACTGGCATATCCACTGCTGTTCGGAACGCCTTGTTCCCTTTCGGTTCAAATTGTTCCTATTCATGCCCAACAGGAACGGAATTGTTCCTAATCGAGGTGGCTTTTTGTTCCTCAAGATGAGTGTTATGTTCCGCTTATAAATGGGAACAGGTTCCGAATTTGTGATAAAGGAACTAGCGTTCCATTTTGCGCAAAGTGTAAAAAGGAATATAGAACAATAGTTCCTATTTATCGTAGGCTGTCTGAAACTACTGTACATCACCTCCGCTATACAAATTTATCAAAACATATATCCTTCAACAATTAATTTAAGTTCGAGACTTTCCCGCTACTTCTTTAATCTCGTTCGGGCTTGCCCTCGCAAGTTCAGGCTTCTGTCATTGTTCCTTTTGATTAATTGTGTACCAAATACGGACAAGAAAACAATGGGGCAAGGGCAAGAATGACCAAGTGTGGGCAGAGATGGGCTAACAATTATCTCATTGGCGAATAGGATGATCTCTTGGGGACCCTTTTGCTAGTATAAGTACATGCATACTTTAGAAAGATATCGATTTCAAGCTAATGCTTAAGATGAACAAACGAGGCAAGGATGTGAACTGGTCAAAGTTTGCAAATGCATCGCCTAAACCAAAGAGACTTCACTTAGAAGAGGATGACTGTGATGGTCTTTTTCACTGCCCAGTGCAAATTTGTAACCACGAGGGATTCGCTACGCAAAGAGGCTGTAGAAAACACGTAAAGAACAAACACAGTTGGTACTATTACTTCGACGAGAAGCCAGACAGTGCTCAAATCGAAAAGCTTAATGTCGATGAAACCAGCAAATGTGAAGCCAGTGATCAGAAGATTACACCGCGTAAAAGCAGGACAATTGCCTCTTTTGATCCTAAGAACAAAATTACCAAGAACTTTTTTTTTCGTGGCTCACTGGCAGTGGTGGGGGCTGTAAAGTGATCGACAAGCACAACAGATCGTTAGCAAGTGCTTGAAGTTTCTCAAATTTTGTTGCGAGGACGAAGAGGAGGTCACATTTGACATTGTGGACTTTAGTTTATGTTCACCTAATCTCCTTTTTAAGTTTGTTGATACGATGCAGGATGATTGGAACCTCGACACGCCGGACGCATAGGCTACTTGGATGCCATTGCAGAATTGGTGGATTATCGAAAAGTGAATGGAGCATCGGAATCGGTATTGAGGGGCTGACTTCAACAGAAATTTACTTGAAAAAAGTGCGCAAAACCGTTTCCAAAATGATGCGGTTGCAGTGGACCAGTGAGCTCGACATCGATGCCTTAGAAGCCAAAGGGCACTGGGCCACACTAGAAGAACTGTTGGAAGTCGTGGGTCGCTACCTGCCGCGCTACGAGAGCGTGCTGAAATCATGCAAAGAGAAACCTGGTGCTGTTTTGCCAATAGATTTATCTTTTGCTACCAAATTTGTGGCCGTCTATTTATTTATCAAGGTCAAGGGCTCGCGCGCCCCATGACATATCAGTACTTAACAGTGGAAATGGTGAACAAAGCCAAGACTAACGGTGGATTTGTAGACCAGAAAATGTTCAAAACGGCTGGCAAATATGGCTTCGATTCTCTTTACCTGACTGAGACGAGCATGCAAGTGTTGGATGGCTACATCAACCACATTCGCCCCCTACTCAGACCGACCTGCGACTTTGTATTGGTCACAAGAAATGGAGGGCAGCACCAAAAACTGGGAGGGCTAATGAGTAAACTGGTCTTTGATGCAACGGGAAAGTACGTTCACCCGACTCGCTATCGACAGATAGTGGAGACCGCGAGTTCTAGACAGCTGAGCAGCAGCGCGCAGAGCACAATCTCCGAGGACCAGAAATATAGCTCTGTTGTTGCAAGGGTTCACTATCAGAAGCAGCGATCGCGCGAGGTGGCAAGTAAAGCACATGAATATTTGGAAAGATTGCATGGAGACAAAGGGTCAGAGCTTGAAATACACGTGCGCTCGAGGCTTTCAGGCGATTCTGCGTCTTCTGAAGATTGAAATGGAAGCAAAACCGATACTTCCTCAAACGACGAGGGAGAAACGATCGCAGAAACACCACCCGAGTGTCTTTCAGGTGTCCCGAGACTAAAGCGGGAAAATGCGTTTATAGTGTCGCGTTTCCCGGCGAGAAAAAAGAGTCTGATGTTCACCCCCGAAGAAGACAATTATCTTAAAGCAGGCATTGAGCGATACGGCTACGGTCAATGGAAAGCGATTCTCAGAGACAGCGAATTTCGTTTTCAAAAGGGAAGGACAGCCAACTCACTGCTGAGCCGTGCAGCGCGAAGATTCGGATCACTTTCTTAGTTACCCTAGCACTTTCTAACTTACCCTAGAACTTTACATTTACGCCACAGTAAAAAGACATCCTTGAAATATAACTACAAAGGCAAGCAACAATATGACTCAGACCATCACAAGCATCGTTTTATTGTTGTATTACACAAAATAACCTAATTTTGACTTGAGAAATAGTTATCTATTTTGTTTGTTTGACGAAATGTTTTGATTCTCTTGCTTCGCTGGCTCGAGGAGGCACCCCTTCGCTTCCTGGAGTCAGTGGTAGTGGCTCGTCGGTGACACCTGGGAGGGGCTGTACTGGACGTTTGCGAGCGCGGCAATGGCGTTATGAAGACGTCTTCGTCACTGCTAATCTCGTTCTCTGAGGTGGTGCCTTGCACTGAGGTGACTGCAAGTGTGCCTGTAATTGAAGGTGCCGCATCCAAGGATTCTTTGTGGGTGGTGCTTCCATCTCTGTGACCATCCGATCTGAAAGATTCGCCCGACTCGTCTTCGGTCGGCAGGACTTGGAAGAGGCTGGTGACAAGAAACCTTTGCTCTTTCTTCAGGAGACCCAGGGTGACGCATGATCGCTTTCGTTGCTCCAGGGCGAAATGGCAACCGGCCGTACCATAGTTCTCGTGAAACTGCCTCAGCTTATCTTGCAAGACCTCGCGATAGGCCTCCATAGACGTCCTTCTCTCCTGATTCATGTCTGACATCTCTAGGGTCCTGGTCAGCTTGTGTAGTTCTTGCTCCATTTCTAGTAGCCAGGGTGTTTGGAAGGCGGCAAGTGCTCTTTCTCGCTTTCTCTTCAAGTCTTCTTGAGAGTCTGCTGCCTGAAGGCTGTCAGATCATTTTCAATTTGTGTGGGCATGGGTTCCGATGTATCCCTTGGAAGTAGGGCCACATGTTCGCGTGCGACTCCTTTCGACAAGAGATTTTCCTGTCTGCGTCGGTACACCGCTTCCTCTGCCTGCCTCTGTCTGTCTCGCTCGCTGAGTCGCGCTTGCAACATGGCTGAAACTTGGCGGTGTCGGAGGGACGTCTGAGAGCACTGCTCCATAACTCGTCTCAATGCACTGATGGTCTGGTCATTCTGACTACTCGCGTCCGAATCATCCTCAGTCTCGTCCGTTGCACCCTGCACACTCACTTCGACAGGTGAACCATCACGTTCGTCCAGTACCTCGTCCATGCACAACGCGCGAATCTGTTCCTTGTCTGTCGCTGCCAATACTCCGTCATCTGCGCTTTCCTCATCACTTAGCTCGTCCTCTGAATCTGATGTCATGCATGCCCTGGCTTGCGCTGCAGCCCACACGATGCACTCCATCGGATGTCTTCGCAGCCATGCCGTGGCGCTTTTCTTGGGAGCCGGGAGACTTTTGAAGCTGTAGTTTCGAAGTCTACGATCCATCGCGGGCTGGTCTTCAGGTTTGAACTGCAATTTGGTTTGTGCTGTCAAGAGCATGGGGCAGCGATTGATGAAGGACTTTGCTGTTTGATACTTCACATCGCATGCGGTGTAGCCTCCCTGGGTCAAGATCTTCCAATCGTCAATGTCCATAGTTGACGTGGAAGCCTCGTCAATAAAGATCACTTCGGTGGATTTCGAGATCATGGCCTTGTTGAATACCCTCTGCTTGGTGATTGTTGCAATATTTGTGTGGTGCACGATCCCGAGAATGGGATGGAAAAGGCTCGTTTTGCCACTGTTTGCATCACCAATGAGACAGGGAACTTTATCCTTGTGGCATTTCTTGTTGAAGTTGAGCAGCTTGAGGAAATCCTCGCAAAATTCACGTATTTGCGCTTGTGAGAGGCTGTTCTCCAAAATCTCCTTGAAGTATTTTGGGTCGGGCTCTTTGTCTGGATCGTACCTGGTAAACGCCCGCGGTGAAATGACGCCCATCTTCTCATCTGCAATAGGGTTATTAACGAAGCGCCTTTCTTTGATGGACCAGCAGTGTCCACCATCTACCTCGATGAGATTGTAGTCGATGGAGATCGGACGTATCACCTCGCAGTCTGGGTCGGAAAGGATGTCGATTATCTTTCTCATGTCCTTTAGCAGTCGTGCTTTAAAGAACTCGTTCGCTGCAAGGCTATTGATGAAAACGCGAACTTCGCATTTGTAAGCGAAAGTGTACTTGGCCGATGGAACTTTCTTGTACATTTTTCCGCGAAAGAGGGCGTACTCCATCTTTTTCATTGCCAGTCCTATGTCGTTCACGAGCACAGTCAGTTTATCCGAAAGTCGTGTCTCTTCATCTCCACTCTGTGGATTGTCCGCGTGAAAGCCAAACATATCGATCTGCAACTTTGCATCTTGAAGTTTGGTGATTGAACGTTTCAAAGTAGACCCGAAGCACGAATTTGTGAGCCAAACTCTAGCCACCTTCTCTGTCCCACAGTCTTGTGTGTCCATAAAATCGTCTTCGCTCAGCAAGCTGTCCATTTCATTCCGGAAGCAATTTCCGTACGAAGCGTTCACTAGTTCCTGGATCATTTGGTTTTTATGATCTTTCAATACCCTGAACAGTTCTTTCATAGCCGCCGATTCTTTTCCTTCATAACAGGGCACCTGAGAACAGAACAGAACAGTGGCACTGTTAAAAAACTTGAGTCTGCTTATTTTGTATTTTTGAATGTGTGTAAATATTGAATAATGACTACGAATTTTCCAACTTTATCATGAGATGGATATCCCTTTTCTCAAGATGTTTTCTCCGTGTATGTTGTTACGTTGGTTTTCAAATGGTTTTTAGTGATAAGTTATTAAAAACGGACAGAAAAAAAGCTCAAGTCTCAAATATGATGGTATAAATTGGTTCATGAAATACACTGAAGAAAAGATGTGTAATTGAACATTTACGATTAATACCTGTTGTGCCACAGTCTCCACGTCGCATTCCAAGAGCGCTCGGTGGATTACAAGGGGGTTGGCCGGGGCACCATTTGGCGTCGTTAAGGCTATCCAGTAATTGATGCATGGGCATAACTTTTCATTGACGATGGTCGGATAATCAGTAATCCAGTTTTGACTGGCCGTACTTGCAACTTGACTTGATGTCAATGTTTCATCGTTGCTTTCCTCGCTTTCGTACCCTTCCAAAGTTGCTGCTTTTTTTGCTCGGCTTTTTTTGGGGCCTTGCGCACTGATTGCTCCAAAGAAAAATACTACGTTTCTCACCCCTGTGAAAGAGATATAAACATCGTTCTTAAGCAAAAAGAACTTCTATAATCGCGAAAAGCAACATAGTACATTGAAAAGAGAAGATTCTTACCACAAATGGCCTTATCACAAGCGTCTCTAGTTCTACAGACGTCATTCCAGGCTTTCTGTAGTCCTCCTTCGTCGATTTTGCATACGCATTGCGCTTTTACAATACTACACTTTCCAACGATTATCGGGCTCACAAAGCATAATGCTGCACTTTGTATGGCCTTGCTGTTTAACTGACGACAAGGATACTTCGTCTTGTTCATGTTGGGAATGATTTCTGTCCAGAACAGGCTCCGGTCTTATACGAAATCAATTTGTGATAGTCACGAGGAATAAATTTCAAAGTCAATGGAAACATACAGAAGTGTTTAATTGGGGGTTCGCAGTTGTAACCTTCTTAATCAAGTTCCAGTGTTGCCACTACCCCAAGGGATATACAAGTAGAGTATGAAAGGATTTGATAACAAATTGACATGTCCATGCTACATTAGTGCGGAGCATTTTCCGGTGTCGCTTTCTGATCGCAACAAAAGAAGCCTAATTACTGCAGAAAAGGGTTTGAAGTATCCAAGGTCAAGTTTAAGCTTGTTTTTCATAGCTGTGAAGTATATCACAATGGGAAACACAAACTATTGAACCAAGTGGTGATGATGTTGTTTAGTAGCCTCCATGAGACATTGGTTCCATTATTTTCCCGTGATAATGGGTAGCAATTAGCAGCCGATGACTTTTGAAGCGGGCCAAGTTGAATTTCATATTTATTTCAACTTGTTTATTGATGTCATTGAGCATCAATTCAAGAAACAAATGCATTGATTGCTTTGTGCGAAATTTGTTAATTGGGCTATTTCATGAGAAAAAGGTTGACAATGACAATTTGTTCACTTATGTAAATCGCTAAATGGAGGGTTGTTTTGTCCGCAAATGCCATTAAATCTGCCTTATGTACCTGTTTTGGGGTGCAGCAAGAACGTCTACTCTCTGACAATGCGCTAGTTCACCAACTGAATTTTAACTTTGAAGTGATAGATAAATGTTGTTTACATTTTTATACATCTGCTCTGTAAAAGAACCGTTTTAACCCTGCCTTTCCTAAGGGGGACCAGCATTGATTTGAATTCTCTTCATCATTTTAACACAATCTCAAGGAGACAGGTTATGAGAATTAAGAAAACAATCGACGAGGATATGTGGTCTTCATATAACATCTTAATTACACTTCCAAACTGTCAAAAAAGAAATGAGCTTTTCAATCTTAAGAGTGATAGGGTTAAGTCAAGTTGTTATAGAACATTTATACGCAAAATCCGTGAAATCCACTCGTAGCACAGATTTTTTGGCTGATCTTTGAACTTCCAGTTCTAAGTTGCAGTTGACTAGTTAATATCTTTTTTCTAAAATACGGCGGATTCGACGGATCTCGCGGATATCGATGAAGAATAGACATGATGTTAAAATACTTCCTTTTTAAACTGTAAGTTTCTAATACATGATATATTAACATATTCTTCTGTTCAATAGTTAAAGTTTGAAAAAATGAGTATTAAATGACACAAGGTTTTGTAAAATCCGGGAAATCCACCCTAACCAAAAAATTTCTTGCAATCTTTTTTATCTGCTTTGAACTTCCAGTTTAAAGTTGCAGCTGACCGGCTGATATCTTTTTCTAAAATACGGCGGATTCGACGGATTTCACAGATATTGATTAAGAATAGACATGATTTTAAAATACTTCTTTTTTTAACTGTAAGTATCTAATACATAATATATTGACATATTCTTCTCTTCAATAGTTAATATTTTAAAAAAGGAGTATGAAACGACACAAGTTTCCGTCAAATCCGTGTAATCCACCCTCACACAATTATTCTTGCTGGCCTTGAACTGATCTGGCAACAATTTCCGCACAATCCGTGATATCCACCGCAACCACAATTTTCTTAGTCGCTTTAAACTTCCAGTTTTAAGTTGTGGCTAGCATCTTTTTCTAACGTTCGGCGGATTTTACAAATTTCAGGGATGTTTAGAATATAAATGACTTAACACTTCCTTTCTTGATTCAAAGTATCTTATATGTATCATATCCATGTATTCTCTTTGTAGAGGTATGCTGCTCGGCAGAAATGCTTTTTCTCTAAATTGGGCGGCATTGACGGATTTGTCTGTTTTCTAAAAGTTCCCTTTAGAATAGGGGAGGTTTTGTCAAGAGAGAATGTTTTGGACCTTTTTTCTTCTTTTCCGAGTTTCAAGGATATCGATCACATTAATCACCTTATATTCAACAAGTACACTCTAAGAAAAGTAAATGCACTGTAAAGTATTTGGCCCATCATCTCTGTCCAAAAAGATCGCTCTCTAAACAGGTTGACAACGCTCAACGTGAGATTTAAAATTCAAAAATTCAGAGGGAACAGAAATTTGGGAAACGATCAGGCTGATTTCTCACTAAGCACCTGATAAGTAAGTTAAAAATCCTTTTCCTGTTATAGGTCCCCGATCCAAAAAAGGAAGGTGTCAGTGAAGTGATGTCATCAGAACCTGAACATGAGTTAATGATTGATACTACTTCACCTCCAGACGAGATCACAAAACGCGCTGTAGAGTGGATAAAGTATGTTCATGGTAAAAAACGAGTCACTGAAAAATCTGTTGGTAGTATTGAACTGTGGGATTTTGCTGGACAACAGCTGTACTATGCATCTCATCCTGTATTTTTAACATCACGTGCAATATATATCTTGGTGTGCAACCTCAGCAAATCATTGCATGACACTGCCCAACCCTGTGTGAGACAAGGAAATCATAATTTCACATTGGACAACCCAAATGGGGAAACAAATTTGGAGAATCTGCTATCTTGGCTGTCCACAGTGCATAGCATCACACAGATGAGAGGACAAACTCATGACGATGCAGAAGGAAAGCTGCCTCATTTGCGTCCCCCTGTGATCATTGTAGGCACCCATGCTGACAAACCGTTTGAAGACATTGCAACGATGAAGTCAAAAATACAGAAGGCAATTGCTGGTAAGGACTATGAAGGACATGTAGTGCGGCCTATCTTCAGCATTGACAACTCTGCAAAATTAATTCAAAGAAGGTTGGAAAAGGTTTTCAGAAAAGATAAAAACATTGATGACATCCAAGAGCTGAGAGACAAAATCATGGAAGTGTTAAGACAGGAGCCATACATGAAGGAAAGGATACCTGTGAGGTAAATAAAGTGAATATTAAAAATAATAGAACACAGATGTCTTTTGACGAGAATTTCCATGTTAATTAAGGGTTGAGGTTTGGCAGCATTAAAACTACAGTGGACTTATGTACATACACTGTGGGCCTTTGTCCAGTCCATATAGCATTTTGCTTGCATATCCAAAGAGGTTCATGTTTTACCAGTAAATAGTTGGCTACATGGGGATGCAAAATCCTCGTATAAGATAGCTAAAGGCTGCCGGCACATCGTAAGTCAGTCACTTAGGTGGAAGGGCAGTCTAAAGACTTTGTCAGTAATAGGAAAAAATAAACACGTGAACACTGAAACAAGCGAACGCAGAAATATTACATACGTCACTCAAAAACGTCTTTCTTTAAGCTTTCTAATATGTGATGCAGGCCCTCTCTTTCAACATGTAATTTATTCCAATGCATTAGTTTACCTAAGAACAAAGGCAAATGAAATTTAAACAAAGGATAAATATGAACCACACAGTCACCCTATATAACAACGTTGCTTTACCTTGAAGGAAATCGACAAAGGAAGGGTTTGATGGTAGGCGGCTTTCCAGAACATTTAATATGATCTATTTAAAAGAATCGTCATTCTGAATAATAATTTGGGTAATAAGCAGCCATGGGCGCTCATCATTTATAATAATCATAATAATAATTTATTATTTGTAAGCCGAAATATACCATTTAAATATGATCTTTCGGGGGTCGTTACTATAACGGAGCCAAAAGCGTGATATAAAAAACTGGTAGAGACAACAGTTTATTTCCAAACGAAAGGGCGAAAAGTCGCTAAAAAATATAAATTGTCAAGTTTCTCCCCGCTGTTATGTGGGTGGCTTCTTCTTGTGTAAACTGTGTTGTCAGTGATTTTTAAACTCTTAACCTTTTTTCAAGATGTAATGGAAAAAAAGGAATCACCTTTTGTCATCCTTGAGGCCATACATCCCCCCATACTTTCAGGCTCACTTCTACTTTGACCATTTGTACGGCATGTAATGTGTATTTTATTTTATAGCAATGGTTAGTGCTCGATCTTATCGTTTTATTTTATAGCATCTTCTTTGCCACCGTTTGTCTCTTTTTTCATATTAATCACAATTGTTTGCGGTGAATAATCGTTGAAAGGTTGGGAAATGCATTTGCATTTGACTGTTAGTAATGATCTTCCTTGACACATGAACAAACAGTTCTCTGTTTTTTTCGGGGGGAGGCTGGGGTAAAGTGGGCTTGCTGTTTTTGGGATTCCTTAGCATTAATTTTTTTTAGCGGTACCTTCGGGACTTGAAAGTGGCCACATTTTGTGACGTTACATTCGGGGTCCGTTACTTCCGGAATTTTACTTTAGGTGGCCACAATAAATTACGTGAGCCCAGGGGGGGCTGGCAACGGCCTTTGATCTTGCCGCTTTTCGGCTTTCCATGATCGCCCCAGTTAAGAAATCTGTCAATCATTCGAGAACTGTAGCGAGCATGCGCGAAACGGGCTGGGAACAACAACAACATCAAGAAGTTCGTCTCAATGTAAAGTGAATTCGTTTTTGGTCCTGTTGGTCATTGCTTTCTTTGCTGTAACCGATTTTTTCCGAAGTAATGTGGAGCTTACGTTTTCCTTTCTTTTGGTCTTGCGTTTATCATTACATGCGATTTACTACGCTAAGAATGAGACCAGTGAACAGTCATTGTACATGTTCCTCGATGCCCGACCTTTTGGCTCACTACAGGCTTTCAAGCTGTGTTTCTGTTTAGAAGACCCACAAGACTAGAAGAAGGGCCAACCCTCCAATACGTATGTAGAAGAGTTTGTATTTCAAGTAAAAGGCCGAAAATTAATCCTTCGTGATATTAAAAAAAGCGCGGTGGCCGTGGTCAAGTAGAAGAGTTGTCAGGGTTGTTTACGGTTTCATTACACCTGTAAGACGAAAAGAAATTATGATTGAGATTCTTAATTCTTCATCCTTGATTGTGAACTTATCCTGGCAGAGTTGCCTTGGATGATTGAGTGGAAGATGGTCAAATCTCGTAGTTCATGTATTTTGTTATGTACAAGAAGCTAAATAAATTTTGCCAAGAGATCATTGATTTCACTCTTGATATGCTTTTAAGAGTTCTTAACTTCGTGTGACTTAATGTAAACTTTACCGTAGTTTCCAAGAACTGAATATAGGCAAATGAAAGGGTAATTATTTTGTGTGTTTGGAATTCTCTTTTCATGACAGCGGTTACTACACTGCCTTCACTTTGAGCCCTCATTCAATTGTGTTTTGTTTTGTTGCAAACAAAGGGGGAAAAATTGTAAATATTTTATTCCAAAAACTACACTACCCACTGGAACAAGAGTATGGTTTAAAAAAGATTAGCTAAGGTCAGAAAATAAATGTTCAAGTTTGCATGTTTTGACAAGGACTACATCTGGCTAAATATGCTTCAAAGGGAATTTATAAAATTAAAAAAATGATGACATTTGTATTTTTGCCTTTCCTTTGGCCACTGTGATCAGTTTTTGCAATATAAATATTGCATGTAATGTTTTACACCTATGAACATCAACCTGCCTGGTTAGTTTGTGTCTGTGTAAAAATGTAGTTTACTGTTAATGAAATCAAAGTAAACCCTCTCAACTTAAAAATTGCCTTGTACTAGTGGATATTGAAAACACCATAGGATGCCTTGGAAAAAAAATGTAAAATGATTATTAAGATAGTATTATTTGCAGTCAACAATAACAGTTAGAAACTTGTGTTGAGGCTGGCAAAAATATTTTTCAGAGACCATAAACCTTCACTGACTTTGTTGTTACAACAAGTGGTAAAAGGGTATTAAAATGTGAGATCACGTCCCTGGGCTTACACTGAAAGAGAGTATGGGTAGTAGGACACATTGTGCATTTCCCTACCCTTTTTAAGCCAAGAGACCTTATTTATAATCCTGATTCATTTCCTTTAGCATACGGAATTAAGGTAGCTTTTAAACTTAGAAACATGGCAAAACTTGGGAGGAGGGGGGGAAATGGTGGTACCAATAGACTGTACTCTATAGACCGCTTCTTCTTCAACATTCACAACCCAAACAGACACCTTGTTCAAAACTCTAAAGGGTGAAATGGTCACCACCCTAAATCAGCAGCACATACCCATCTAGGCCAAATAAGCCAAGGGTAGTATCATAGAAAGAACTGCTGAGAGGATGGGGTTCAAGCCCGACAATAACTTCTTTTGATGGTTGATAAAAAAAATCAATTTTACCTTGTATAATTTAGTTATAAATCAGATTCATAACTTACACAAACAATAAACTTAAGTTGTGTATTTTTCAAGTCTCTTCTGATTCTCTTTATAAACTTTGCAAAACATTCAGTTTTCTTTTTTCTGTTTCCTGTACTTCAGTCCTTTGAGGGATTTTCTCAACGCATACTCTTTCCTGATGTACTCACTCTTATTAACAACTGAATTAGCCTCTTGTTCTTACACTAAACCACTATAATCATTTCAAGTATAATTCATAACTAAAGGGTAGTTTTTGTACCAACAATTTCAAGAAAATACTTGAAACCGAAGTCACTATCTAATACAAAACCACTAAATACGGTTTTACTGTTGGAAATTTATTGATTATCACTCCAATGACATTCCTGTGAAGGTTTTGAAGGTTCAGTAAACCCCTCCCAGCCTTCTGATATTAAAAATAGCTTATACTGACAGACCCAGTATATGTGAAGCAAAGTGATTGGAACATTTACCCTGGTTTTTACTAAATTGGCCCTGTATTCTGTATTTACTCCCATAAATACTTGTTGTACCTCCCGGTGTACACAAACAAACTTACGAACAGCGTAGCAGAAAATCAATGGTTTAATGAAAATTCACATATGACTGTTGCAAGACTCATACCAATACATTGTGCTCGTAGCATGTATTTAAGATAAGGAAGAGAGTCTTACAACCACTGTAAGGGGAAAAATATAAGAAATAGAGCAAGATGGTCGCTCGAAAATTCACGAAGCTTAAAAATAACTGAACTTGCCGAGATCCCGAATCACGCAGGGGCGGATCTAGGGGGAGGGTGCAGGGGGTGCGCACCCCCCTCCCCCCCCTGAGATGACCTGCGATTTTCTAATACAACTGGTATTCCGCAAAAAAAAAAACTATGTGGTTTATTGGTATTGAAGTAGAGCAATAGACGAGTGCACCCCCTCCTAAAAAAAATCCTGGATCCGCCCCTGTCACGATAAGTGAAGTCACCCATAAACTGTTCATACATCACGCCTCCTGATATCCAAAAAGTCCATTAAAAAAGTTCATAGAAACCTTTTCTTGATATTTGTACGCGGGAAAACTTAAAACTGAGCAAAAACTCCTCGTCCTTCCATGTCCGCATTCTCTGCCATATTTGTTTTCAAGGAAAATTTGTACTCAGTCTCACTCGGCCAAATTTCTTAACTGGGGCGATCATGTAAACTCGGTTCCAGACCTCGCTGCCAGCCCCCCCTGCGTGAGCCCTAATACTTAAATGGTTACCACTTAAAACGTCAGGACTGGTAGAATTTATTTTTGAACCTCTACACAACGGCCACCTTGGGGACAGAAGATAGTGGCCATTGAAGAGAGGTTTAAACAAGACTCAATGTATGGACTGCCGCCACAAGTAGTGGCCATTGTAGAGAGGTGGCTGTTAGTAGAGGTTCGACTGTAGTTAGCTTCTGTGGTTATGTTATTACCTACCTGTTTTAGATTGCGTGCAAACTTCTGCACATGAATCGCTTCAAGCCACAAAAACTGCCCGATGACACGAATACTGTCATTCATCTTTTTATAATCTAGGTGGTTGACCTTTGAGAAGGTCCTCAATGCTTTGCTGTCCAAGAGAGTTTACCATTTGCACTTGAGGAAACTTCAAACCTATGTAAGGGACAACTGCTTTATAAACGACGAGGAAGAGTTCACTACCATGGTGGATTTCTACCATGACCTGGGGATAATTATCAAGCATTGCAGCACAGTCATTGTGAGCGCTGAGTGGTTAATAGACCTATTCAAGCAGCTAATAACCATTCCACCATTTGATGAAACGGTGAGGTCCGAAATACGTTCGTTAAGTATTTTCAAACTATTGCAGCAGCTTTCTCCTCTAGCTCTTTTTATTTATTTATTTATTTGACAGACAACAGCGAAAAATTAATACAACAACAAACATGTAAGATAAGTAGCAAAAGAGACGTGGCGAGGAGACCTAAGAGAAACTATAAAAAGCCTCCTCGAATTACGGGCTTTTTGATAATTTCGTTGTCAAATGAACTAAAAAACTTTGGATCTTGAAAAAAGGAATTTCTTAGTGTTTGTTCGACAATAGGGTAGACGGTACGATTGACCTGCACCCATCCAAACCTCTTATTTCATTGGTCCCTATAACCTGCACTAGCTATTGTTTTCAGGGATAGGGGCATTGTTTTGTCACCATCCCTATTGTTTTCCCAGCCAATCACAAACCTTGTTTGGAATAGGTGCAGGTCGGCCTAAGAATTTCTAGTATTGTTACGAGACTGGTATTGATATTGTTTAGGAAACGTTGGTATGTAACATGAATACATTGGTATCGTCGGCAAACTAGATATAAAATTTAATAAGCTAGAAGCACTGTTAAGACACAACAAAAAACGTTTTAACGAACGATGGCCATTTAATTCAATATATTGCATTCTACTTGCAAAACAACTTCTTATTCAGTCCAGTGCTAAACCACGAATACCGCAGATGTTCGAGTTTATCAAAAATAATGGCATGATCTACGGCGTCAACTGCTTTTGAGAGGTCAAGAAAAATACAGACATCACCTGAAAAACCTTTTAATCTCTCTACATTTTATTACTCAGGAACCCAAGGTTTCCAAACTCTGGCAGGAAGTTAAAGAAAGTGGAGTCCTCAGCATGGAACTGCTTCATCATGTGTTTTCTAAGTTTCTTCTGAAGGGCGCTGCAAAGGATGACATTCTTGACCTGATGGAACAATTTGGTTTGGTTGCAAAGTTTTCACCTTCTAAAACTGATGTAAAGTATTTTGTGCCATGCCAGCTCAAAATGCCACCTGATTCCATTTGTGCCATGGTACCCTCAAGCTCAGATCCTTGTCCTCTTTATGTTTACTTTGTTACTGGTTCTGTTCCTCATGGCCTGTTCACACGGCTTGTTTCTCGACTGGTCAGGTGGTGTTCTGAGGCTGGTCCAGCTCAGCCCCCTACCCTATATCAAAATGGAGCATGGTTCGTCATTGGGAGGAAAATTATCCATGATTTAGTTCTTATTTGTAAGAAGCAGTTCATAAAGTTTTTCGTCAAGCAAAAATCCCAGCGTCAGAAGATTTCAGTGGAGGACACAAGTGAGGCAGCGGTGCAGGTGCGAGAGTTTGTGGAGGCAACTTTACAAATCTTGTCACGTGATCTTCTGTATTTGCGTGGCGTGCAGTACGAGATTCGGGTGGCCTGCCCATACTGTCAGCTGGAAAGGTGCTCGGGCCATAATCAGGTGGGTTGTACTCATGACGACTGTCTTCACCTCCTGGGGTTACGACAAGGTGACCCACTGATTTGCAAAACGAAACCTTCAGAGGAAATACTCACAGTTAGGGGACAAGAAAAATGGTTCTCACAGATAACAAGTGAGGTAGGTAGTAATAAAATTCAGTCTCTGGCAATGCTTTTAGATTAGCGCTTTATGTATGTAAACTAAAAAGAATCATGCTACATGGGAAGTTAGATACTCTAAAGTATTATGTTATTAAATGACTAGTTGTCTATCGATACTTAAAAAACTGCAACATGAACTCTCTGTAAGCGTATATACGTTATTAGATTGCAGAATAATGCATAGTGAGCCATAGTGTATGCCTTAATGTGGCCTATCACATATCTCTCTGTAGAAAAAAGAGGACAGTGGAAATGATTAGAAGAAATAAAGTAAATTTTTGTGAGTTGGTAAGGTCAATTTGTAACATATGAGGACTCAAATGCTAATACTTGAGGCTCTTAACTCTTAGCTGTGAAGAAGGGTGAGTCTTGAGACTTCAGCTTTTGAATCTTGCTACAGACGTCGATTGACCTTATCAACTCTGTTCAATAAATGTGTGTATCGTACGGTGCCTGCAGTATTCTTAATCTTGTGCATGCGTTGCTTTGCGTTCAAAACCTTGCATCATCATTGCCATATGGAACAAAAGGTAAGGGTTCTGGCCTGCTGGCACAAGAGTTGGTTTTTATGACCTCATTTTAAGTCTAGACCGGGTTTTTCCTCACAAGGTTTTGCTTAGAAGTTAATTTTTTGTGATCAGGTTGTACAAACGTTTGTTCAAAAGGTTAATGTTTGGCGCCCCGATGGAATTGTTATTCTTAAAAGGCGTTTTTTCCCCGTACAGGAAGTGTATACTCCATCACTTGATACTGCACAAAGTCATCCAGGGCGTTCAATCTTGAAAGTTGCTCTTCTGGCCAATGAATGGGGGTCATCCAAGGGTGGCTTGTCAACAATAAACAGAACACTTGCCATACATTTGGCAAAACACGCACACGTCGAAGTCACCATTCTTGTACCTGAATTTGAGTGTGACGAAGAAGACAAGAGAACTGCCAGAAGTTACAACATTGCCATTAAGGAAGTACAGCGTCGCCCTGCCGTCAGTGATCCTCTTGACTGGTTGAGCTTTCCACCAAAAGACCTTGACATTCAAGTTGTGATTGGTCATGGTGCAAAGGTCGGTAGACAAGCGCAATTTATCCGAGAGTCTCATTGTTGCAAGTGGATGCAGGTTGTGCACACTGAACCTGAAGAGCTTGCAATGCATAAGAACTATGCTAACGCCATTGCCAAAGGGGAAGGAAAGAACAGAGCTGAAGTTGAGTTGTGCCAAATTGCAGATCTCGTTGTGGCAGTTGGACCCAAGCTGAAGGAAGCGTTCTCGTCCAAACTGCGTTCATCTCATCGAGATGTCTTTCAATTAATACCAGGTTCCTTTGCAGAGTTTTCAGATACTAAACCTGCTACACAAGATAGTGTGAATTTCAAAGTGTTAACCTTTGGCCGTGGGGATTATGAGGACTTCAGTCTCAAAGGATATGACATTGCTGCTAAAGCCATTGTTGAGCTTCAGGATAGTTCTTACCGTCTGCTGTTTGTTGGTGCTCCTAATGGAAAGCAGGATGAAGTCGCAGAAATCTTACTTCAGACTGGCATTTCAAAAAACCAGCTAACTGTCAGATCATTTGTACAAAGCAAGGAAAGATTGAAAGAGTTGTTTTGCGAAGTCGATGTGGCCATCATGCCTTCAAGAACTGAAGGATTTGGGTTAACAGCACTGGAAGCGATGTCAGCTGGTCTTCCCATTCTGGTTAGTGGGAACTCCGGATTTGGAGAAACACTGCGTGGTCTTACTGAGGGCAAGTCAGTTGTGATCGATTCTGCTGACCCCAAGGAATGGGCAAAGGCAATTGGTGCTATCCGTCAAAAACCTAGGATACAACGGCCTCAGGAAATCCGAAGAGTGCGAGAAGTTTATGAAGAGAAGTTCAGTTGGAAACGACAGTGCCTGCTGCTTGTTGAAAAGATGTGGAAGATGGTTTATGGTAAGTAATCAAACTTATCTTAAATTAACTAATAAATTTTAATTAATAATTAAACTGTGTAGTGTGCAAATTCATACTGTTATGTTTGGACTGACTGGCCGGCACCAAATGGCAACACACCAGCTCACTCGAAATGTCATCTCAAGGTACATGGTGGTCGGCTGCTAGGCCAGTCACTTATTTGACGTTCTACGGCGTTACCATCGTTATATTACTCCTGTGTGGGTGTACTACTTGAGAGGTCTCCTGCTGTTACATAAAAAAGAAACAAGAAATATCTCGATTCACCTTAGGCAACCGATAGCAAGACAAAGTCACCATTGAGCTTGCGTTCCTCATGGGTTAGGCAACTTACAGTTACACTTTCATCAAGGCATCATCAAACTGAAGTGGTCTAATATACAAATACTTATTGTTCCGTGGATTTTGCCTATGAGAACATTAAAATATAAAGATTGCATTATACATCTATTCATAACTCGGGAGAACTCATTTGTTGCTAAAACAGGTTGTATTAAATCGACGTCAAGACTTTGTGTTGCCTCGTCTATGTAGTGCCGTGAACATTGGCATGGTGTTAACTTAAGGTACGTTTCCTATTGCACCACACATTTGGTACAATAGGTTCGTGTTAGTGAAATTAAGTTCGGCTGTAAAAATCCGTTGGTTAAACAAGTAAAAAGTGTCCGTTATTATCGAATTAAATTAAGAGACACTGTCCGGGCTTTTCCTAGGGACAAAGGATACCGCCCATAATAATGAGGTGTGTGTAAAGTGGGTTTCGACTGTAATTCGTTACCTGTTTGAACAGTACATGCGTTACTCCAATGTCAAGTTTATTTTTATGGAAGAGTGACTTCATTTTTACTGTCTATTTTTGTAGAAGAGTGACATCATTTTTACCCTGATTTTTACTTTACACCAAAGTAATTGAAAGGAAATGATCCTTCCATGATATTGTTGTTGGATCGGAACGTGATAAGGTGGCTTGAAACCTGAGTGACAGCCTCTGGTATTTGTAAGCACCACACCTCTTCACAGCGAATATTTTTGTACTTTTTCTATTTACAGGTGACTTGACATTCCATGCACTTCAGCAAAGCCAGTTAGACGCACGTAGAGAGACCAGCAAGTCTGAGCTGTCGCAGAACTTAAAGAGGACTGCTCAAGAGAAAGGCTTTGTGATTTCTGACAATCAAGGAGAGGGCAACTGCATGTTTTTTGCTCTTTCAGAGCAGCTTGCTGTCGTAAAAGCAATGAGGATGTCTCATGAAGAGATACGGCAAACTGTGGTCCATTACCTTATGGACCACCCTACGCTGGTAAGTTAAATCGTAGCACCAACTTAGCTTTCTTAACGGTATTTCACAACTTACATGAACACGATGACATTGTGAGCCGATGTTGTCACTATTTTAACTGCCCCCTGCCCCTTACAACATTAATATGAGATACTGTGATCAAATTGAAGTGTTTAAGTTTTGTCACAACATCGTCAGCAACACTTCTTTTGTTCTGGAGAAGTATACGCTTTTTGAACAACTCTCACAGCAAATATTGTACTCGTGCATCCTGAGTGAGAATTTTTTGTTTGTTTGATCCGCATAGCTAATTGAGAGAATTTTGTGGCTTTTAGAACGATACTAATGTGTATGACGCAAGAGTAGCACAAAAACAATTTGACCCCAGACAGGATTCGAACACAATATTGAATGATTTCTTATGCATCCTGTTTTATGAGAATGGAAAATGAATCTTCTCTCAGCCTCACCAATTTTCCACCAATTTGGACAGTTATTTGTAAAAATAAGCATTTGAAGGTTCCTGTTTAGAATTGGTCTTGCTGTTCATCTGAGTACAGCAGGATTCCATTCCAGATTGGGCTTCCGTGCTCTATGACCTCCAATAGAGGTCATACTCCGGTGAATTAAGGAATGGGTCCTCGTTACATGCGGGGTTTTATGAGTTGATCTTGTTTTTTCCAGTATCTTCCTTTATTTTAATCGTAGACCGCTGTGTTTAAGACCAGAACCACTTTGGACCTTAAACACTCCTTTTTTAGATCACATGACCAGCCACGCCCATTATTATGCAAAATTTGGACTTTGCAGATTACACCAGTTTACTGAAAGTGACCACAATAGTTTTTCCTTCCATAATATTTCATTTACAGTCAAATAAACTAAATTAATCGGGGATTTGTGAAATGATCCATTCCTTCGTGATTATTAGATCTTTTTCTCTCGTCCCAGTCTCCCTCTTAACAAAAAACGTTATAGTTTACAAAACGTAGATAATTTAACAAAACCCCGATTAATTGCATAAACTTTGTGTCAATAGTCATTGACAAAAAGTGAATTAAATTACAAGTGTTATTTATAAAGTGGTGTAAATTTGGATTGAAATAAAAAGTCAAAAATGGGTGTGACAAGTCACGTGACACAGATAATACATTAGTAATAATGAAAAATGAATGCTGACGGGGAGTAGATATTGAATTTAAAATATTAATGCCAAAGGTAAAATCCCCACTAAAACAGACCACCCCCCTACAAATTTGCAGTGCCCCATTCCTTATGTATTATATGTATAATTTGGTGAAGAACACAAAATATTCCTCCCGGAAACAAAATAGAAATAGACTCAGAGTCGACGTTTTACTGACATCATGTTCCCCGGGACGAAATCGTGGAAAACATCGAGACTCGAGGGAGATCAAAACTAAGACCTCGTTTACACGGGTGGGGACGAATTCTGCTACAGGTTGCAGTACTTTTTGCACGAGTCCATAGAAATTTTTGCACAGTTTCAGCATTGGAATGGCTTTTTTGAATCTTCTCAGCATTGCAATGAACCAATCATGTTACACTGAGTCCAGATTGCGATATTAGTGAACTTACGCAACAGGGCGGAAGAGGAAAGACGACGGCAAACTATGTGTGACAAGCGTGACAATAATTTTGCTTTTGCTTTGCTTCCGCCAAACTTCACATTCCTTTGAACAGATCTTTTTGTGGAAGAGCAAGAAACATTAATGTTAAGCGAATTCCCAACAAAACACGCAAGTAATAGCCCCGTCACGTTTGTCACACTCAGGCGTTTTGTCGTCCTCTTCTTTCTGCCGTCCTGTTGCGTAAACTCGTAATCGTAATCTTAAATCGTAAACTCGTTGTCGTAATCTTCACTAAATGTCAATGTTTTTAGGTCTTTCACAAAAAGATCTCTTTAAAGGAAGATGAAGTTTGAGGCAATTTTTTTTCAAACAAAATTATTGTCACGCATGTCACTCAAGGTTTGCCGTCTTCCTTGCTCTCCCGTCCTGTTGCGTAAGTTCACTAATACTAAAATGGCTGCAGCAGTAAAAAATTTAACTTTTACAGACGAAGAGTTGTTACTCCACGTCCTTGTGGGCTTTAAAACAGAAAAGGAAGGCGAAGGCTTTGATTGGGAGACTGTAAAAGCAAAGTGGGATGAGCTCAACAAAAAGTTTATCGAGAAATATCACAAAAACTTTCAGGAAAATTTTCGGCGAGGAGTCTGCAAACAACAGGAACAACAACATTTCTGACTTATATTGAGCTCTTTCTGTAATCAAAGGCGCAAATCGGCAGATCGACTTACGTCACTTACCAAAGGCGCATAACTAGGTTCCAGGTTTTTACCCCGCAAACTGTGCAAAAACTTGCACGGTTAACAAGAGCCCGCGTAAAAGTGGAACCGTTCGGTCATCAATTTTGACTTTCTTCTGATCAGGTCAAAAACTTGCACACGTTGCCGTTCAAAAACTTTCACGGTTCCTCGGTTCCCGTGTAAACAAAAGACGATCCGTGTAAAGTTTTTTTTTTTTCAAAAGTTAGTCCAGCCCCGTCAGTAAACGGAGCCTAACCGTTGAGGCACCTGAAAAAAAATGTGCTTTGTTTTAGTGACAAGAACATAAGGAAACAAGCAACTACTTTGACACATTTATCCAGCGTGGTAAATGAATTGCATGATACTACTATACATGCGACTTTAGAGTGTGTGTTGTAATTCTTTCCCCAATAAACGTCACATTTTTAATGGCACTACATAAAGAAGCAGAGAGTTAATAACTACACTTTATTTTTTGTCTTGCAGCCAGATGGGACAGAGCTTTTCCAATTTGTTGATGGATATTCATCTTGGGAAGCTTACCTTACAAGCATGATGACAAATGGTACATGGGGTGATCACGTGATACTCCATGGTGCGGCAAACTGCTTTGAAACATGCATTCACGTAATCAGCAGTCTGTCGCATCATAATGACGTAATGATTTGCCCAGAGTATGATGATACTGGTAACAACCAGCTTGTGCTGGGTCACGTGCATGAGCTTCATTATGTTAGCCTTCGTCCGGTTTGAAGAAACCGTCATTTTTGGATAGACGCTCACACGCTGTTGTCGTAAGAATGATACCTCAGATAGTTGTTATAATCGCATTTATTCATGAGAGATAAATTTCTCTGCGCTAGTTCTTAGCTTCACTGTAGTTATTACTAAGGACTTTAAGACCCAACGAAGTCCCTAATGATTTTTATCAGAATTTAGCTCAGCTGTTCAACTTTTAAAGTTGAACGCCATATTTTTTCTTTTTTCTTTTGGGTATAGTTAATTTGTCCCAAAGTTTATTACTGTATAAGAAAAGTAATTTGCCAAGTCTGTCTTCCATTTTAAGGTGGATGGAACCTATATTTTTACCTTGATCTCACCCCGCATGCAGCATAAAGTTATTCTTCTTGCAATAAAGCTTTGTGTAAGAATACCCGGTGATAGTCCGTCGGCACTCTTCAACTATTTGTGCGTCAACTTTCACAAATGTGTTAGCGTAGCATTTTAAGGTTTAATTTCATCAGAATTTTGTGCAGCGAGTTGTGAATTCACGATTGACTTCAAACTTGCAGATATCAGGTCAAACTTGATGGTTCTAAGGCTTATTTGATGAAGTTAGGGAAAAATCTGTCGTATGATTTCGAAGTTACTTTCATTTTTACTAGTAAAACGCGATTTTTAATAAATGCTGACTGGATATTTCACACTCTTTTACATCTACAAGAAAATAAATAACATTTTCTTAAAGTTCCACCATTTTTTATCAAGGTACCAAAAATCACAGATATCAATTAAATCGTTACTGCTGAAAAACGCGTTTATAAATAGGTTCGCGCCACCTTAATTAACTAGTGTGAACACTTAGTTTATTTGGTAGCGTTAGCAACATGTCGGCGACGGCAATGAAAACGTCATTGATTCACGTTCCTTCAAACTTCATCTCCATTATTTCATAACTCTTTTACTTTGTCGATTGTAAGCGAATTGTCCGCGAAATGAATTTTTGTTCATTACGCACAACTATAGAAAAAAGGAGAAAACATTGTCGTCGCCTGTTTTTGTCCTCTACAAATTATTGCATCAGGAGATATCATTTGGTTGTCGTGCAGTAACGGTAAAGAGATGTACCACAAAGCTTGATGCAGGTGCAGAATTGTTGTTTTCCTAATTAGAGACCTTTTGCCGTTTTTGTTGCATCGTAATTGCTCAAGTTCCCCGATAACTAAATTATTACTCTTCATAACCTAGTTTAGTTTGTTTGGTTATTGTTACATGAGTAAAAAGCACAACAGTTGGTTAATTGTCAAGATTAGTTAATTCTCCTTGAATTCCTTGCGCATTTTGATTTGTCTTGCGCGCGTTGGGAATGGCACACTATGACTTCCGGATCCTTTTAACAAAAACTGCCATTTCGGCGTGTGGTTTTTAAAATCTAACTGCAACTCTTCGCTACCAACCTTTTGCAGTGCGACTTCTGTAACCGGGGCCACCTAGTGACCAATCGGATTACAGGAAAATAACAATACATTCCAAGAAAGTTGGTTGTGGGTCAATCAGCAGCTCGTAAAAAAAATTGATAAGTTACTTGAAGCACGAAATTTAAACATTGATAGCAAACGTTTTCAAGAAAGCAAAATGTTTCACCAGATGATGTTTTTCGCTTCGAAACTTACAAAGTATCATGCAAAAACATATTTGTTTGAAACAAGCTGTTATTTTGGCACCTATCAGCAATTTCTTCGCTACCATTGCGGCACTTTGCAATAAACATGAGACATCAAGTCGAATATATATCACGGACTTTTCAGGAAACATACGACTTTCTTCAGTGGGTTCAAAAGGTCACGTCTGTAGATTGTTATTGATTGATTTCGATCCATGTTGTTGATTTCGTTCCATGGTAATTATGATGGACAACTTACTTTCTCAGAATGTATTGTAATTTCCTGTCATCTAATTGGTCAACCCCGGTTATATAGTAGTCGCACAGTAGTACTCAAGAGAATCTGTGATTTCTACAACTTTTGCCTGTCAACTTGTAATGTAATTATAGTGTAAAATAAAATAAACCAACGTTTTTGTTTTACATAACTTAGCTTTGCTTCTTCAGCGAGTCATTCAGAAGGTTACACCAAAATTGGTTTAACACCTGAGTTAAACTGGGTCAATTTAGCGTTTGAAGGATCAGTGTATGAAAATCTTTTCAAGGATGGTAAACGAACTTAATAAAACCCAATTTTTATGTTACGTAAGTGAAGTAGTCAGTTTAAATAGACATTTTTACCGATACGGCGGCCATATTGAATTCATTCGATTTAGGAGTATTATAGGATGCCCATGGGGCATGAGCACATTTCGTTTGTATTTTCGAGCGCTTTTCGGGACATTTTTTCTTAAAGTTTTCTTAGAATAAGATTGTAATGGGAAAAAAGATTCTTGTGCCGTGTTTGGATGTAATAATGATCGCCTTTTTCTAGTTTTAGTATTAGAAATATGGTCTTTCACTGTACATTTCTTGGGAAAAAAGGCGATCATTATTACATCCAAACACGGCACAAGGATCTTTTTTCCCATTACAATCTTATTCTCAGAAAACTTTAAGAAAAAATGTCCCGAAAAACGCTCGAAAATACAAACGAAATGTGCTCATGCCCCCCGTGCATCCTATAATACTCCTTAAATCGAATTAATTCAATATGGCCGCCGTATCGGTAAAAAGGTCTATTGATGTAATTTTCAGTTTCGTCGGTTATAATTATTTTATCTATTTACAGTGAAACCTGTTTTAAGCGGACACCGTATTAAGCGGACACCCTCTATTGAGCGGACAGTAGCCGAAGTCCCCAAATTTATTTTCTTTATTTTCTTCAAATGAAACCTTTATTAAGCGGACACCTCTATTAAGCGGACGCGTACACCTAAAAAGTACCTGAAATGGTCATTTCTATTGTTCCCAACCTCTTTTAAATGGACACTTGTAATTAAATTCCACCACCCAACATGGCAGACACCGGAAATGGGAAAGATTGCCCGCCACACATTTTTCGATTTTTACGGTGACTTGACCAACTTATTTGATTAGTTTCACAGTACAGTATTGTTTTCTATTTCTTTTTGTTTGTATGGAGCTTGTTTCACTCATCTGATTTCTTCAAATTTGAGTTGCAATCTATGTTTATGGTACTACGATCAATTATTGGTCCACTTTAATAAAGAAATAAAATGCAAACGTATATCGTCATAGCCTCTGGGAGAATTCTAAACGTTTCCACTGTTCATTTGAATGGCATTTGACACCTCATATGTCGACGTTATCTATCGAAACCTGGATTAGGCGGACACCCTGTATTAAGCGGACACAACAGCATTCCCCGAGGGTGTCCGGTTAATGCAGGTTTCACTGTGTTTGTTTGTTTTTCTTTTTCTTTTCTTTTTTTTTCAGTAAATTCAGATTTTCATTATTTCATCTTCATCTTTCCCGGGTATATTACGAGGAGAGAGGACTGGGTTGACATGCTATCGTCTAAAGCTGAGGGGAACGTTTAATATTTCAAGTTTAGATAAAGACCAGTCAGCCAATATCCATGGACACTTCTGGAAAGAGCGTATCGTCATAGCCTCTGGGAGAATTCTAAACGTTTCCAATGTTCATTTGAATGGCATTTGACACCTCATATGACGTTATCTATCGAAACCTGGATCAGGCGGACACCCTGTATTAAGCGGACACTACAGCATTCCCCGAGGGTGTCCGGTTAATGCAGGTTTCACTGTGTTTGTTTGTTTTTCTTTTTCTTTTCTTTTTTTTTCAGTAAATTCAGATTTTCATTATTTCATCTTCATCTTTCCCGGGTATATTATGAGGAGAGAGGACTGGGTTGACATGCTATCGTCTAAAGCTGAGGGGAACGTTTAATATTTCAAGTTTAGATAAAGACCAGTCAGCCAATATCCATGGACACTTCTGGAAAGAGCGCCTTAAACTTAAGAAACCTATCAAGTTTAAAGGTGATACACAGTAAAAGCGAGCGAAGATATTAATCCACAAAGTCGTGAAATGTTACAGACGTTTCAGACCAGCATCCAATCTTCCAAAAACACATAAATAGCGACTGGGTACAAGTCTGCAGACGTTTGTCTGAAAAAATCGTAGAAGGGTCTATTCAAAGTCACCATGGTAACTGCCCCAATTAAATGCAACTATATATGTACCTTCATAAAAGTGAATGAGGCGATTTATATGGAATTTTCGGATTTAAACAGAGCTTTCTTTCCTGTGCGCGGTACGCACAGTTGTTTTTAACTCGTACTCGATATAAATTTCTCATTAACTTTGCCCTTACTAACCCTCGGAATTTAATTATCCTTTATGTAATGTTTAATAAACGAGCGGGAGGGTTTTAACGACACAAACCGAAGAGGACATAGCGTCTTGTTCCAGAGCTTTTCGGGAGCCTAAAAATGCCGAGTAGGAGAGAAAGTTAATTGAAAATGGTACCCCAAAGTCAACTATTCCACTGAAAAAGTATTCCTTGAAAAACGTTTTCTGGAATGGCCGAATGGTAGGTAAACAAAAATCCAGTACTCGAGCCTTGAGTACTGTCACAACTGGCAAGTCTTGAGTGCAACGCTTGGACACTGCTATAGCCAATACAAAGTGACTGTTGTGTCACTGAACTGTTGCCTGATTAAATTTTTTGTAATACTAAATTTACTGCGTGTGTTATTTTGAAAGAACATTAAATATTCACCCACCATTTGTTGTGTTAGTTGCTGTGCTGATAATTAATATTGATAGGTCACGTGCAATGAAAAAAATGTCATCCTTATTAGTATTTTTTATATAATGAATACTAATGACGATGAAATTTTTTTTAAAGGATATCAATGAAGCAAAATACAATCAGCCCCGGACTCCCCTGAGACTGAAATCAAATGCCGCCCCCAGGCTTTTTAGTTTGAAGGTGTTTTACCGCTGTTTCAACACGAGCACGTGACGGATTTTAGCGGACGTGATAGGTTGTTGAGCTCAT